TTTTGGGGCTGATTTTGGTTGATGTGCAAACAGTTGTCTCCCGTGTTTATATAACTAAATATGGTATAAATAGCGCTTACACATAATATTTAAGTGATTTTTTTTTTATTTAGTTTTGCTATTGCTTTTTATTATATGATTTATTTATTATTTAGCTACACTACTAAGTATATCAATTTTGCCTTAATTCCAACTTATTGTTTTGCGGTTGCAGTTTTTGTTATCTTGCTTGTGATTTCGTATTTGGTTGTTTCCATTTTACAGTTTCTTTACTACGCTCGGTCTACTTTCTGAACTCTTTCAATATTAACATTGCCGTGTCGTTATAAACCATCATCTAATTTCATTGTATATATATTCTGTATATATATTCCTGATTTATCGTCAATATTACATCCCGTCGTTTCTCTCTCTCTCTGTTTCTCTCTGCTACTCGCTACAAATTCAGCTTCTATATCTTTTTTCTTTTTTTGTATTTTTATCCTTTTGTTTTAGTTACATCTTCTGTACTTCCTTCTACCCACTGCCACTTCTTGGCTGCATTAGCAAATGCAAATGCAAATGCTTTGCTTAGATTACTTCTTCACCATCTTCATGAGCGCGTCTGTGGACAGGGATTTGGGGCGCTCAATGGGCAGGCCAAGAGCCCGATCCCAAACAAGGGAGGCGAGCACGCCGAGAGCACGGGAGACGCCGAACAGTACGGTGTAGTAGTTCATCTCCTTCATGCCAAAGTATTGCAGCAGGACACCCGAATGGGCATCTACATTGGGCCAGGGGTTCTTCACCTTGCCAGTTTCAGTTAGAATTGGTGGCACCACCTTGTAGATCTTTGATACCAGCTGGAACAGCTCATCATCGGGCAGATGCTTGAGGGCAAACTCGCGTTGGCAGGTATAACGTGGATCAGTCTTGCGTAGCACAGCATGACCATAGCCAGGGACAACCTGTTGTTTAGAAACGAAGAAAATCGATTAGACATAATATATATATGGGGACACGTGAAATGTAGATCGACGCACCTGTCCGGACTTCAGGGTCTTCCAGATGTAATCCTTCAGCTGATCCTCCGACGGGTTGGGGCCAGCCTCACTTTGCAGCTTACGCAGCCAAACAAGTACCTCTTGATTGGCCAGGCCGTGCAGAGGACCCGCTAAACCATTCATGCCGGCAGCAAATGATAGATAGGGATCACTGAGAGCAGAACCTACCAAATGTACAGTATGAGCAGACACATTGCCACCCTCGTGATCACTGTGAATGGTTAGATAAAGGCGCATGAGCTCAGTAAATTCAGGGTTATCATATCCGAGCATTTTCACAAAATTGGCCGACCAATCCAAGCCCGAGTCAATCGAACGGGAGCCCTTGCCTTCGCGATAGGTATTGGAATAAATGGTGGCAGCAACCACTGGCAGTTTAGCAATTAAATCCATGCTGTCCTCATAGACAGATTCCCAGTACTTGGTCTTGTGCACACCCTCAGAGTAGGCCTTGGCGAACTTGCTGTCATGATTGAGGGCCACAATGGCAGCCGAAAACTGCGACATCGGATGCAATGTGGTGGGCATGTTGTTTAGCATGTTGACCACATGCTGGGGCAGTGCGGCGCGATCAGCCCATTCACATGACAATTGCTGTACCTGGTCCTTGGTGGGCACATCGCCGGTCATCAGTAGCCAGAACAGGCCTTCGGGCAATGGCTCAGAGCCGCCTTGAGCAGCGGGCAGCACCTTCTGGCATTCGGGAATGGATAGGCCACGGAAGCGAATACCCTCATCGGGGTCCAGTACGGAGGTCTCGGTGACCAGAGCCTTGATGCCGCGCATGCCACCGTACATCATATCAATGGTCGTCTCGCCCATTTTTGTGGAGCCATGCTGTTTCCTGAATGCCTTAATACGTTCCTGCTCCTTCGGGATTTTGGCGGCCAGCACTTCGCGCAGGCTGGCGCCGTCAGAAGCTATATGGCGCACATAAGCTCCAATAGCTGGTACTTTCTATAAGGAAAGAGTTATAATATATCAAATACAATTCTCAAGATCTGACGGGACATTATTAGAGAACAAATGGTTGTTACTGTGTGTGTAGATCAGTGTTGTGATATTTATGTTTTCATTAGTTCAATATCCTGCCAAAGCTAGCGCTTTTTATTGTCAAAAGTGGGCAACACTAGCGCGTAGCTGCTCATTTACATTAAAGATAGTATGCTGCAACATTTTGGCTATTTGGTCTATCGATAACAATCAGCTGAGATGTGCTAATCTTATGGGCTGTCATTGAGCTGCACTTCAAGGGGCAATTGCGCGTAAAATTACGCTGAATTCCAATATGATTGATAAGGTGCGCCAATCCCTAAACTCACACACACACACACACGCTTGAGAGACACACCACTGTTGTTGATAAGCAGAGCAGAGCTACGATTGCAGCAGCCCGAGTTCATCTTCATTCTCGTGACTCAGTGCCGTTCAGACATTGCCGCAATGGCTGCAGTTTCCTTTGTTGTTGCATAATTTACTGCTAGAAAAATTCGACAAAAGCGCGCCATTCGCAAAGTTCAGCGCAGGTTAGACCGTTAGCGTGTAGAAACAGATCCGCAAGTCCGGTTACAACTAGTTTTGGTTTTTTTTTTGACCAGCCCAAGTCAATGGCATTTTGTTGCTGTTGCCACGCGCGTGTCGACGAAACGAAATGGAAATGAAAACGGAATCCAAGCTGAAGCGCAAAGTGCAATTTGTTTTGATTGACAGTGGGCGCAGCCTTAGCGGCCGTCTCTCGATCTTTCGCTCACGCTCTCTCTCTCCTCCCTCTCCTATGTTTTCGTTATTGTATTTTTTTTGCGGCTAGTGGGTCAGCAAATTCAATTAACCATGTGAACTTGTGGCGCCGCCAAGCGGCGGATTCGTTTGCAAATTGAATTGCATGCCTGCTACTGCTGTGAGCTTGTGTAGGTGAATGTGTGTGTGTGTGTGTGTTTGTTTGGTTTGCCTTCTTTTATGCATATCGATATTGAATTGTGTGTGCGCAAACAAACACACACAAACCGGTTTGCTGGACCGGCCCCAAAACGCGATTTCATTGATAAAATTGAGTAATAATTTACGCATACGCCTTGCATCGATTATCGATACTATAAGATGGCCTGTCAAACAGCTGATCGTTACGTCGCCAATTACAGTAATTACACAAGACAATATGCAAAAAAAAATAAATAAAGGATTACGCACGTAACTCGGAGAATCCCTTTTTCCATTAAATGCAAACAGAGTGAAGGTTTACTCATAATCTCAGCACATGGTAACATAATACTGATTATTGTAAATGCAGACTGACCAGCAACAACAAATGCAATTTGAGCCATTTGCCGCAAAATATAACCAAACGCCGTTTTGTCAGGTGCACAAACCGCAACAGCGACGTCGACCGCGAAGCCAGCATCAACTGGCGCTTTTCAAGCAGGTGCTAATTGAGCTGTCGTAGTTTGGTTTCTATTTGCTTGGCTCGGCTAATAATGCGCCGAAAATCAGAAGAAAGAAACACAGACAAACATGGAGAGCCTGTGAGCAAGAGAGAGCGAGAGAGTTGAGTAGTGCTTGCATAACATTTGGCGTTCGTGAGTCCCACACACGATACGTCACATTGCGAAAAGAAACCCTTACAAAGATGACACATCATGCATGTTTAATTGGGCTCAGTTCAGTGGCATTTTGTTGCATAATGTGTGGGGGGCCCACGCACGTTCGCTTGGCTTCTTTGCTGAATCCGTTATCTTATCGCCGGGCAGCTACTTTCTTAAAAATACTTGCTTTTTTCCGCACACACACACACACAATGTGAAAAAGTCATGAATATAATCAGATTAGTTTCACGGGCGGCCGTCTGCCTTCTGGTTTAGTGAGCGAGAAAGAAAGAGCGATATTGAGGGACAGGGGGGCGTGTGTGAGTGGGGCTGCGCCAGCGCCATCGCCCCGCCGCTGATAAGCATTTAAAAATTTGAAGGTCCCCGCAACGGTCTCACGCGCGTCCAACTTATCGCTTATATGTACATATATTAAACTAAATATTTGTATGTATATATATATTATTTTCTTATATGCTGCTTGCAGATATGTATGTGGTCATATGGTCATCAAAGAAATCGTGGTCGCGTGTTAGCCACAGGTCTGAGGGAATCGGAGCATTAGCTGGAGATTAAAGTCTGCTTTTGATCATCGCGATCTGCAACAATGTATTGCATAAGCATTCATTCTATCGGACAGCGTTTTTTTTTTTCCTTATTTTTAATTAACCGAGCATTTTAATCTAAGTACAATTACGACTGGCATGACAGCTAAATTAAGTACGACAGATCCATAAACAATACGTTTTTACAATCGTCAAAGTGTCGACCTTCACAATTTACAATTGCCAAGTCGAGAGCAGCTCTCGACACACTAACGGCAACTCGACTCATTGCATGCTCCCAAGATTTTGGCACCAAGGTGAACAAGAGACTTGCAAGCTGCAGTTGAAGTGTCCATGTTTGAAACGATGCCAAATTGAGTAGTTTCGGCGAGTGACCGTGACTTGGCATTTTTTTATGCCTTAATGGCACACATTGTTGTGCTCACTATTATTTGCGTGAGCATATTTTCTGCTCTATGCTTTTCTTTTTATTGCCTTATCAAGAGTCTCTCACTCTCTCCCTCTCTCTCTGTAGCAGTAAGTTTTCGCTCTCGTTTCTGGCTTGCGTGACGATTTCAATTGTCTGCATCACTCGCCTGTTGGTTATTAATTTTTTTTTTTTACTACCCGGTATTTATTAATTGCTTAATACGCCGCTTAGCTATCGGATAAGTTAGCTCCCATCGGCATTTCAAGTTCATATATTTATAGTATATGCAATTCATTGCATCCCTTTGTCAGTAACATATTGTCATTTGTCGTAACTGAGTTTGGAGCCTAATCAGAATGATTAAGTGCCAGTTGCTATTCCTTTATTGTACATACATACATACGTACTGAGTATACCCGTTCCAAAAGTAAACAGTTAACAGCGGATGACGTAACCAGACGTCGGCTCCGATCGGTGCATTGGGATTTCTGTCCGTTGATTACATGCGCCTTAATCAGAATCTCTGGTGAGAGACTCTGAATACTCGATGTTCTGAGTCAGCTTTTAATTGTGACACAGTTTTCAGGCGGCGGACAAGGGGAAGTACGTTCGAAACATCGCTGGCTAGTTCAATGAAACATTCGCCGTGAGTTGTTTTAACCGTTATTGTCGACTTTAGCGACAAGTTGAATTGCATATGCAATGAGCGCTTAATCGCGTGTGAGCGCCACAGTCATAATCATCAATCAGTCAGTGTCAATCACAGGCAACTTTCATCAATCACTTAAACTACTTCTATCTGCCTGACTCTCTCGCACTAACTGCTTCTCTATTGCGCTGTGTTTTCGCAACTGTTGCCATTCAGTCAATCTCTTCATTAGCAAGGCAAAAGCTATGTAAATATTTGAACTGCGTGTTAGGGGGGTATCGCATTGCGCTCTATAAATATTATGCAGTTTGTTGGTTTATCGATAGACCTAATTAAATTAACACCTTAAAAGGCGGCGTGGGCTTTACGTTTTTTTTTTTTTTTTCTTTGCACAATTCCTACTTATATTTTTTGTTATTCTGCTATCAGCTCACGTCGAGCGTTTCTGCTGGCTGCGTGTGTTCCGATTTCGATCTCGATCATGTGCCCCCATACAAATTTGTCATGCTTATCAGTTAAGCTCCGTTAGATGGGGCCGCATTAGCGGAACGCTTGCAAATGTAAATATACCGTAAGGCAACACCCAATGAGAGTGCAGTTTTAATGGGACGCTGCCCTACTCTGTTACGCCCATCCACTGTCAAACCCGATTCCGTCACATGATCAGCAAATCTAGCGGCGTTTTCACGTTATCAAACTTATCACCGGCGACAATTTCATTACCATACAAAGTTTCCATGACGCCATCCATTGTTGTTATCAGCCCAAACGAGCATAAAACTTTAAATATCTGAGCAACAAAAAATTTAACAAGTGGCAAATTAAAAGGAACGTCGCAACGAACAGAACTTGCAGGTGGGCCCTCTCCAAAAAGTGCCACTTGAGATTGGCACAAGCTATCAAAGATTAGGCGACCATAAATTTAACAATTTATTATATAGCAGCATATAATATAATACTAAATTTATGTGCCTCAATTGCTGTTAACAATTTATTTTAGCTAAACTCTTTTAAATTCGCTTTTGTTAAAAATGGAATGCGAATTCGCATTGGGTACAAATGAATGACATTCTTCTTATGCAATCGTGTGATCAGCTGTTGAGAGCGACAAAACACAGCCTCTGAGGAATGCGCTCTCTCCACCCACAAAAAAAGAAAAAAAAAAACACATACACACACATTTGCCAAAAGGGCAGAGACGCTACGCTAAACGACCAACTTTTACGTAAGCGCTGCTCACGTATCGTGACGTATTAGCGTCTGGGCGATAAAAAATTTCGCGTGTTTGTTATTAAGTTGGCCGGACGTCAAATGCTAGCGCTGCTTAAAGGCCTTGCGGGTCATTTGTTGTTGTTGTTTGGCTATGATGTTGTTTATATGTAACATATGTATATAGTTGGTAGTTTGCAAACTAAGAGTGTTCCACTTCTGTTAGACCGGAAGAGAATGCAATGCAAATATCAAGCCCTTTTATCTATGTACATATATGTATGTATACATATGTATTTATAGCAACGAAAGCAACAACAGCGTGAAGGACGTTTGCTGTTGCTTCGCGTTCTTTTTGGCGCCATGCCAATTGTTCAAATACATAACATTTAGAAGGCGCAAAATAGCTTATTTAACTTTTTGTATTACGCATCGAAAATTGTTTGCGTCACATTTACTCGCTCATTATCAGCATGGCTCTCTTCTGCTCCGGTTGCCGTTCCGGCTCTCTCCTCTCCCACTCACGCTCTCACGCACTCACTTCGGCGCCAACAATAATAAAAACTCCAAACAGGAAACAATGCGCTCAAAAGGAGGCTCGTCCTGTAAGCCGTTTGTGTGTGTGTGTGAGTGTGTGTGTGTGTGCTTGTGTGCCTGGGACTATGTATTGATTTTTCTATTGAAAAAAAAAACATGCAAATACTTGTGTGCTGATTTTTCGACATTACATAATCCACACAGCACGTACGTATGTTGTGCACATACATACGTGGCGATTAATTTTACGTATTTTATTCTTTGTTTTTTTGCAGGCTGCGTTAGCGTTGGTCGGGAAGGGGATGCATTTATTTCTTAAAGGTCGTTCGGCGGACAATCTTCTTGGCGCTGTTCTCGGATCAGCAGCAAAAACAACAAATGCAGAAAATACTTTTGGCAACAAAAACAGCGCCTTTCTCTTGCAAAGAAGAGCAGCTAGCGGCAGCGTCAGCAGCAGCAACAACAACAACACGTGACGCGCTTTGTAAATGAAGAGAGCGCATACGAGAGAGGCATAGCAACAGCAGCAAAGAGCGTACCTGAGCGCAGTGTTGCTATTTAGACTATTTTGTAGCTAGTTTTAGCTCTTTTAGCTGGGTTTCGATTCTGGCAACAATTAGGCTATTTAAAAATAAAAAATCGCCAGTTTTTAAGAGCTCATGTTTACATGCCATAAAAAAAATGTGCTAAGAGTGGCGAGCTAATGCAGAGATTTGGTAAAAAATTGTTTAATAATGAAAGTTCTCAGTGATAATTTAAAAAAAAAATCAAAATCTTCTGTACCCCATTTTAAGCAATTTGTTTACTTGACTTAGCTTTTTTAGCGTTTCAATTTATGGCAACACTGTTGCTGAGAGCCGCTCTTTTTGAGAGCGACGCTGCTGCTGTCGTTCTTGTTGTTGTAACATTACAAGACTAAGGCCAGAGACGCCGCGTGGTTTTAAGCCAAATTAAAAGCCAGAGATATACGTTTATGGAAATTAAACAACAACAAAAAGCCTTAATAAATAAATGGCACAACGGAAAGATGCAGCTGGTAACGACAGAAGAAGTTCATTAAACTCAAACAACGCCGCTCGCTGCGACAGCGACAGCGAGGGCGACTGCGTCTGCGTTTGGTGAGAGTTTTATTTATAAAGAAGATTCGCGCTTCGCTATTTTAGCCAAGTGAAAATTCTGCGTGATTATGTAATCACTACTGCCGGAAAATTAGCACATAGCGAAATACTAGCGATAAATACTTGGCCAAAGAACAGAATTTACAACTGCTAATAATTTATTTGGGCGTTAAATTATGGGGCTGTGCGGGGCAGCTGGCAATCCATTTTTTGCGCTCTGTAGTTTTTTTTTAATCGCAAGCACATGGCTGGGTTTTTGGCGTGACGTTGCCCTTGCCAACAACAACGCGCGCGTACACACACATACAGAGGCACATACCAGCGCGTACTTGGAGAGCGTGTTGTGTGTATGTGTGCGCCGCTGTCAAGCCACGCTTAAGTATAAAGATCCTTTAGCAACAAAAACATTGCGTGCAAATTATTTGGCACTCAGAGTAACAGTTATTAAACAGTTATTGCGAAGGGGGTGGGGTGGGGTGGGGTGGGGGCTGTCGTAAGAACTCACCTGTGCGTCGACAATTTTACTTGCAGAAATGCGAAAGATCGACATGATTTATGCTAATTTGGCTGGTAGATTTGAGAAGAAACTCAAACGCTGTGTTAAATTTTGAACACTAACACGCACACACACAGAAAAAAATTGCTTTCCCCCAGTGAAGAATTTGGAAATGTTCTTTTCTTGTGTCGTTTGTTTGGCGAGCGAAAAAAGTTTCCTACTCTCCCTTCCTATACGGCAGCTGCGCGGCAACTGAATGTAAAAATATTATTCGAATTCGAATGGTTGGTTGGCTTTCAGTTGCTATCCGTCGATTGTTGTTGTCTTTGGTGTTGTTGCGACTATCGATACTTTTTAGTTTGTATTTGCATATCGCTAATAAAAGAGAGCTAATACCGAAGTAACTAATTTGAAGTGATCGTCGAAGCGTTAAGGCAATAATTACCAGCTGGGTATAACATTTAATATAATATTTTGTTGTTTATTTGGGCAAGTATGATATTTGCAATATCGATTATAATGAAAATACCAAACAAACATTCTACCACCCACAAAGAGCCCAGCTGATAAAAAGCAGTGCACCTTTTGACACCCGCGCAACGTTTGAATCCATTTTTATTTTTCTAATATTCGCTCACCCATACCATTTGTGTTTCGCCTTCGTCTTTTCGTATTTCAATAGGTTTTATCTGCGCTTGAGACATCATCTCCTTATTAAAGTCTTGATTAGATGGAAAGGCACCCTTCTTAATGCAGCGACGTTGGTGCAAGAATATTGTGGACCGATTGCCAGTAACCAGTTTATGCAATAGCGCCATATTTATATCAATATTATTCAAATCAAATATATTATTCGTTCAGCACACAAATTTGAAAAAATCTGAACTAATAAATGTGGCACAGTTTGATTTGATACAATCAGCTGTCAGAGCTGCCAGAATATTTTACAATTTGACAGCTTACCAATTTAATTACCGATTCAGTATTTAAAATTTTGACATTTTAAAGCTGTCAACTTGGTTTAGGTCAGACAATGGTTAATTGTTAAAACCGAACACAAGCTGCCAGACTAGTAGACAGTTGAGCAAAATTAGAAAGACGCTTCCAATCAAGTTATACAGTAGAGCACTTGCCTATTTTTGATTTTGGTATTTTGTTAGTTGTCAGTTGTGGTCACATTACGCTGCGTGTTATGCAAAAGGCGTCTTGAATTTTTAGCTGGCAAATTTCGTATTTTTCAACTGATTATCAAAGCGTAAGTCGAAACATATATACAGCCATAGGCGGCCCAATGTTATTGCTACGCATTCCTTAACATTACAGCAGCCAACATGGCGACGGCCGTGCCGCATGTGCCCCCTAAACAGGATCTACCACCGCCCGGTGGCTACAAGAAGATACCCTTTGCTCGTGTGCCGCCCAAGAGCTATTTCACAGGTGCATTCGAACAGCTGTGGTCTATTATTATCCTATTATTATCCTGTTCTATTTTCTATGCAATGCAGGCTTCACCATGATTGGCACCTATGTGGCCGTCACCGCTGTCGGTCTAGGCATCTATTATTTGACAGCCAAAAAGGTGCGTCGTGACGAGATTGAGATGCGTTCGGCCCAGAATGTCATCTTCCCACTGTTGATTGCGGAGCGTGATCGCGAATTTTTGCGCCAACTGCGCCGTAATCGTGACGAAGAGGCTGAGCTCATGAAGAACGTGCCCGGCTGGGAGGTAATAGCACCACACACACAAATGACAGCTCTTTCAAATATGTTATTGTATTTATTAATCTCTTTGCCAGGTGGGCACCTGGTATGGTGAGCCCATCTTCAAGACACTGCCCGAGGACACACTAGTTACACCCATATTCAAGGAGTTTTATGCTCACGCCGACTGGAAATCATACGCCAAGCGCGCACATCTAAAGCTCTGGTCCTAAACGAAAAAGGGGCTGGGAGCAGGGCGGCCGCTGCTGCTGCTGTTGCTGCTCCCAATCCTCTTCAGCTAATTAGTTAATGCACATTGTGAGACCTTTTTTGTTTGTAGCTGCGCCTAAGCGCTATTTTAAATGAATAATAAACCAATTGCTGCCTGCATTGGTTAGTATGAAAGAAAGAGAAGAAAAAGAAACATCGTGCTGTTTTTATGTTCGCGAGAAAACACAAACACATTTTAGATATGCATCTATGTGACGTGATCTCGATTGACTGCTTTTCGTCCTAGTTCTAGGCTGTGGATTTATACAATTTTTTAACATTTATGTGCAAATTGTCTTGTGATCTATAGAACTTTCGTAGCAGTTTGTGATGAATGCATCATAATTATGGAAGTTTACTTTATGGATCGAGCCGATCATAAGAAAGTTCTGTACAAAAACCTAGGCTAAAAACCGGTTTAAATAGGGTTTAATTATATTTTTTCCTTTGAGAGAAACTCTGCGCCAAAAAGCACGAATAGACTTCACCCCGATCATTGCATTTATCTAATCGATCAATAAAATATTGATTGAACCAAAACTTAGTTCGAACCGCAAACCGAAACCGTTTTTTTTAAATATATTTATCAATTTTCTATGCGAATAAACGGTTTAGATAGATTTTGCATATATAAATTAGTTCATGGGAACATTATATAAAGAGTTTCGAGAAATTCCTCTATATGTTGACGAAGCTTAAATATCCTGGAGGTAAACATCGCTTGGGCATACCCATTTTTTTTAATTCGGAAAGGTAGGTAGGTAGGTGTAGGTATTATAGATTTTATGGAGACGGGACAAGTTTTCGCTGCTTTTATAGATTAGCATGGAGAGGATCGGCTATTGTGTCTGATCAAGAATATATATGCTCTTATAGGATTGGCGAAGCATCCTTTTCGCGGTAAACAAAAATACTTGGCTTATAGTAAAAGAAGTGTGTTCATAAAACTTTTGGTTCAATTTTGTTTTGTTTTGTTTTGATTGCTTTTGTGTATTTTTATTTTTGTGTGTTCTCGTTTTGTCTCTCGTTTTTGTTGTTTGTTGCTTTTATTGAATTCAACATCAATAATTGTAATTGTGTAGCATATTCTCTCATTTGGGGAACTTTACGCAATATCTCGGCTATTCGCATTTAAGATCTGTGTGTGTGTGTGTGTGTGTGTGTGCGTGTGTAAATGGAAAAGTATACATTGAATAAAAAGTACACTGTACATACTTGACATTGTACGAAGCCCTGATGTATGGATATAAACTAATATATATATACATATATATATATATATATGCCTCGACACTCCCATAACAAATTCTTATCATTATAATATTACATATTAAAAAAAAAAGGTTTATATAAAGTTCGATTTTACTGCTCGTGTTGTCGTCGATATCTTTCTCTATATGTATCTATATCTTTATATATATATATATGTTTGTTTGTTTTTTTTTTATATTTATATATATTAGTGTGTATTTATATGTATTCAGGCCCCCAGCGTGGCAAGAACGAAGTATGTGTGTGTGTGTAGGTGTGTGTGTGTGTGTGTGTGTGTGTGTGTGTGTGTGTGTGTGTGTGTGTGTGTGTGTGTGTGTGTGTGTGCGTTCGATATCAAATTGAGCGCAGCAATGAAAATGTTCGATTTTCTTCTTTTTCTTTTTGTTGCGAGAGAGAAAGAGAGAGAGAATTATAATTACATTGCCAGCTGGAAACGCCTGGGACTCTGCCTAAAAGCTAGTATTTAACTACAGCTGGTGTGTGTGTGTGTGTGTGCGTGTGTGAAAGAAAGAAAAGTATATAAACGAAAGTTTTTCATTTTTCATTTGTTTTTGACCAGCCGCCTCTAGGGCTGCTGCTCCTGGTCGACACTCTCCTCCAACTCCTCGAGCTGCTCCTGTTTAATAACAACGTAACGCATTGGCGGCGACATCAGCACCTGTTCTTGCTGCAGCTGCAGCTGCTGCTGCTGCTGCTGCTGATCCGCCATATCGTGCAGCTGCTGATCCGCATCGTGGTCGACCATGTCGGATCTTTTGCGCCGGCGCCGCCAATTGCCATCACGTTGCTGCCACCTCTACTTCATGTCACGACGACGCTTGATGCTGCCATCGCAGGTGGGCAGATGGCGCTGCAGGAAGCCCTCGAAGACAAATTTGCGGCCGCAGCGTTCGCAGCTAAACTCGCGCTTCTCCTCCACCTGCTGTTTGTGCTGGCGGAGCGCCTCGGCGTTTGAGTATTTGTCGCGGCACGCGTCGCAGGCATAGCGCCGCTTCACCTGCCCGACATCGAAGACAACGGTGAAGTTTTGTGAACAGAAGGAGCAGGTGAACTCCTTGACAACAACCTTTTTGCCGCCATGTTGGGCGGCCAATGCCTCGGCCTCGGCCTCAAGCTTATCCTGATGCTTGTGCGAGTCCATGTGTGTATTATATTTGGCCTCGTCCACAAATTTGCGATAGCAGCGGGTGCAGCGGAACGGCTGTTCGCCAGTGTGACGCATCATGTGCTCCTTGAGATAGGCCACCGAATTGAAGATCTTGCTGCACACCTTGCATTTACGATCCTCGGCAGAGACCTCGTTGCGCTGGCGCAAACAGGCGCGCATGTGCAGCTTTAGTGAGCCGGCGGCGCTGTAGCAATTGCCGCAATTTGGGCAGTAGAACGTTTTGTTGCGCGACTGCGAATCGGATTCGGGACTGTGATCGATGGTGCCTTCGAACACAATTGAGCCCATGTCATCCTCCTCGTCGTCCTGCTCCTCGCCCTCCTCATGTTCGACGCCAACAATTTCATCATCATCATGTTCAATAGCCTCCTCGTCGTCATCCTCATCGTCATCCATATTCGGCACAATGTGCAGTATGGTGTGTGTGCCGTCGCCCTGCTCAATGGTCTCCACCTCCTCGACGGTGCTGTTCTCCACCAATTGCTGCAATGTCACCGCATGCCCGTTCTCATCGATTATCACCTCCTGGGCATTGGCGAGGGCCTCATGGTCGCGATCGCTAAGCGTCACCACGGCCGTTTCGGTGTCATCATCCTCATTGGTGGTATAGGCATATGTATACTGTGTCGACTCGCCGCTGCCGTCCACGTCGTCTGTATCGTGCTGTATGATAACTGGCACTATTTCCTCCTTGGACGGTGCATCTGTCGGACTTGACAGCGTTGTGTATTTGATGCGTTTCGAATTCATGTTGCTGCTTCAGACGCGAGCGTCGCTTATTGATACAAATTACTACTACTATTATATATTTATATATCTATATATATATATGTATATGATTGTTATATGTATTATTAATTTTCGCTGACTGTTTAATGCAGCACACAAATTTGTTGTTGTTTAATGCGGCGCGGCGTGGCGTAGCGTCAGCGCCTCTCCTCCAGCAGATATATGTTTTTTTTCTTTCTTTTTAGTTGTGTGCGTGTGTCAGTTCTTGTTAGTTACGTTTTCAGATTAATTTTCGATTGAATTGTCGACGCTGGGCTGTAAAATATTTGTAAACAATGCGCTAGTTGGTAAATTACTTTTGGCGCGTTCAAATTATACTTTTTTCTTACAATAGTCAACACTCTTTCGCGACTTTCTTGCCACCAAGTTTAATTCTTCCACTTCAATATCACAATTTTCGTCGATTGTGGCAACATCGTCTAACAATGGTCACACTGGCACGAATGCTGCGTTGTTTTTGGTATTAATCGCACTAACGTTAAGTTGGCTGCAACACGAATTTTACACATACGTCACGTATCATGCGCTTACGTCACACATTTGTCATTACGTCGAACAGTTAACGTTACGTTGCACAATCAAATGCATATAACGAAATTGAAATGCACTTAAATACATTTTTGCTAGTAATACAAACGTCACAAGATTTAAGGTACAACCCAATTCGCGTTAAAAGCGACTGCAATAATGCGCAAAGTTCAGTTACGTGTATGGAACCTGAAAAGGTGGCAGCGCTGTCAACTGACGCGTTCAGTGTGCCGAACAGTTGTGCATCTGCTACCAAACTAAAATGGCGGCAAATTTCAAATAGCCGACAACATTGCACACCGCACTGACAGCCCAACTCATCCCAATTTTGACGTTCTTTCTTGCCTTTCTTTATATTTTCAAACGGAAAGCAGCTTGTCAGCCATTTTGTTTCGCAAGTTGTAGATGGAATCGCCGTCTTGACTGGGTTCAACATTTTCGCATGTTGTGCAATCTTGAACTCAAGCGGCGAATAAAAAAAAGGTAACCTATGCGACCAACAAGTCAACAGCAGGCACACACACACACACACACACACATAGTAAATACATAGTATATGTTGTAGATGCACATGTTTGTTATGTGGTCATTTATGGTTAAACACATTTTTGTCACGTTGCCAACGTATTCGCAGCTTGGCGAAATCGTGTACAATTGTTGAATATAATGAATAATATGCTTACAGCTAATTATATCCAATGCTCAACTAACTAGTTCTAATAATTATGCATGCATGCATGTATGCATGCATGTATGTATGTATTTATTTGGTTGACTTACCGAACGAGTTTTCTTCAGGATCGATGACATAGTGTGCTTTAATTTTCAGAAGACCAAAATTTTGTAAAAATTATATGTTTACTAAACGAGCTCGTTTTGAATTGTGAGGATTATGAAACAGCACAACCGACCTTGAAAAGCTCGATGAGAGAAAACAAAAAAGATACTTTGATACTTACTTGTGCTTTATGGAGTGTCTTGCTACATACATACATACATACATACATATGTATATATTTTCCTTAAAAACAAATGCAGTCGAAAGCTGTTCCCCCTATTGCATTATTCAACTCGCGGCCCGACCTTGGGCACGACGATTGCAAGACGATCCGATATACATACATATGCATATATGTATGTATGTATGTATGTATGCCAGTAAGAAATGCAGCAATTACAAATTCTGGCATTTTCTAATAAGCTAATTAGCTACGATCGTACAAATGTTTTCTTTTCGCATACCCTGCACCAATTGGGAGCGATTAAAAGGGGCATACGAGTTTTGTGCATGCGTACGCAGCTAAGACAAATTAGCTTTACGGTTGCCTTCTCCCGTTACTTGGAAATTCCCGTTACTTAAAAACGTATGCTTTGAGGAAAGGAAGCTGAAATGTTTCTAATGTTTCGAATGGCATCTAATCTCCAAGTCGATCACTCCCGACCGCCGCATTTCACTTATGTACATATTTGCCAGCTCTTTTTTGTTTATTTACTCATTTCACATGATCAGAGAAACATTTCCATTTACTTGGGCGAATTTCCACAGCTGAATGCGAGATGTCATTGTACACCCCACGCTCCGAGCTTATGGAAAAGTTTTCTGCTGCCAGCCGATCAGTTATTTTTTCATTTTTTTTCACTTACATACATACATATACATACATACGTTTTGCTTGGAGAAGGGGGGGCCGGGAGGTTGTTTAATTAGCTTTGAAGATCGCAATACGTCAGACGAGGCGTTGCACGGCAAATCGCACGCTTTTTTCAGAGACTGTGAAAACGGTAAACGGGGCAGTCGCAGCACAATATGGCGGCGGCGGCTTGGGCTGAGATATTCTACTGCGCACTACGTGGAGCACAGAAGCACAGAAGCACAGGCGCGCCTGGGAGGGCGCCAGCTGAAAAATCAGGCTTTGGCTAAGCAAACGTAATCAGGCGTCCTTGGGCAGCAAGTGCTGCACTATCATAATTCATATGTATGTTCAGAGCTGCCATCAAAACAACAGCAACAAAGGTAAAAAGACAATGTACGCGAGGCCGAAGAGCGAATACCCTTGCAAATACATACATACATACATACATATGTATGTGACTAAGAAATGAATTTTAGATATATCATACATTGCTTGACCGATTATTCCTATAGAACAATCTTTAGAGTAGCTCTTAAATAGAAGATATAGCATATATACATATATTATATATGTATGTATATATGTATTGGCACACACGAGTCTAGGAGATTCCAAATTACAAGTCTCTAACTTGACGAACATCAAAAATAATTGCGTTTTTTTTTATTAAATGATATAGAAATTACCATCGAAACTGTGGAAAATAGGTGGAAATCACTACTTTTTTTTTGCTCAGCTCAAACTCATTTTCAAAGACATTTGTGAAAATGCATTTGAGTTTTCATACATACATATGTATATTATAATTGTTGATCATTTCGTAATACCCCCTTGAAGAGTATCAATATATGTAGAATGATGTCGGGCGAGGGTAGCGGAGGGCTGGTGACTCAGTTTTTGCCGATGCAGCCACGTTTGCCTTTAAAAATGCAAATAGGCAATTGGTATTATATATGTACATACATGCATGTATACATATGTATGTATGCGTACACACACACATATGCATATGGACAAAATTGTATATGCGAGCATTTATTACTACATATACATATGTACATATGTATGTATATATTCCTATAGCTGCGTTGCGGTAGGGCATCAAATTGTGTTATTTATTTTTTTTCTGCATTACTGACCGACTTTGTTATCTGGCGATTAATAATTGCATCATAAACTGCAATAGTGTTTATTTCGCATATACTATGTGTGTGTGTGTGTGGGGGGGGGGGGGGGGGGGGGGGGCTCGTTGCTCTACAACTATAATCATCAGCACTTGTGGATTTTTGCGCCCTTTAAATTATAAGATTGCAGTGTGCCAGAATTGTGAAATGCGTAAAAGCAGATATGACAAGTTTCAGGAATATTATTGTCCGTTACGCGATCTGTTTGGATAGCCTTAAAGTAGCTTATATATGTATGCACGTATGTGTATGTATGTTTGTATATACGGTGTTTACCTGCGTATATGTATGTATGTATGGACGCTCCGCTGAGGCCGGCTTGAGTCGCGGTACGTGCCCAAATGACATATTCCGTATCGAATTGCAGCATGTCGTCTGGTAAAAAAAAAAGCACACATACACACAAATTGTGTTCTTTTGTCCAAACATTTCTGTGGAAAGTTTTTGCTATTTGAGGTTCCTCTTCTTATTTTTTTACTTTTGCGTATGTTTGTTGGGCTGGGCATAATTAGCAGGGCGTTGCCAGATGGCTGATTGCTAAACTTTCGTTAAGATTTGCATACATATGCATTTTGGCTTTGACGATATTTTGTTGCTTTTGGGCAACACGTGCTGCAGAAATTTCGTCGCCGCCTGCAACTGTAATTGCACCAACTTATGTACGTAAGAACATACATATGTATGTATGTATGTATGTATATCTACATGCACATGTATTTGTGCATATGTAAACATATGTATGTACATACATATGTATATGCACATGAATTCTGCTTTCCATATGCTTAAAATTCATCGATGAAAATACTGATTCAATTTAATTCAATACATACATACATATGTATGTAGGGCTTGTGTATACATATTTAAGTGGGGGTTGTGTCTGTCTGCCGCGGTGCGTGTGTGTGTGTGTGTGTGTGTGAGTGTGTGAAAGGGCGCTCACAATCCAAAGGCACTCAGCGAGTGGAATTTTCCATGCAATTTTTCGTGTAATTGCTGGCCGCTCGATGAGTTTTTGTTGTATTCTTGATTAACCCTTATGTGCAATTCTTAAATAGTACAAAATGCAACATCCATTATACATATGTATGTCAATTTGTTTAAATGAAATAAATATACATTTACACGCGCGTTTTGTTTTTTTGTCTCGTTCTGTTTTGTTATACCTCTAAGTCATTTGAAAACATAACCGATTACCGTTAGTTGTCTCGGTCTGATAACAGTCACATTTGCGCAAAGTCTCCATTAGGCGTGTCTAATTGCCGGCCGGGAAGAGACCGAGGGGGGGGGGGGGGGCAGGAACTAAAGCCCAGCTAACTTTTGGGCACACATACACACATACATATGATATGATAATCCCCATATAAAGCTGGCGGACCAAAACGAACCCCCGGGCATTGCATGGGTTTAATTGCAAGCTCGATGCCGTTTTTTCGTTTTTGTTGTTGTTGTTTTGTTTTTGTTTTCGCCTGCGTTAATGGCATGTGAACGAACGAACGACAGAGTGACTGACAAAAGAGAAGACGAAGCAGAAGAAGAAGCACAAGCAACAGCTGCCGTTGCATCGGCAACAAATTTCAATGAATTTGGTTTTTTTTGTCGCCCACATTTTGTTGTTGTTGTTGTTGTGCTCAATTTTGTAGCCGTGTTTAATTTAATTTCGGATTGACAAAACAACAACTTTTCCATTTGTATGTATGTATGTAGTATATTTAAATAGCCATCAGCCGAAACAAAGAACGACATTTTTTTTTGGATCTCTGATTTGCGGCCTAATCCTAAAAAAAAAAAAAAACACTTAAAACAGGTTCCAAACTGGTTTGCGGCGCGAGCTGGATGCGCTTTTCAACTGGGCTGTGATAAGAAGCCGGCTGGCCATTCAATTCTCGAGTCCCTTTAGCTGGCTGCACGGTCGACCACAACGGTCTCCACCGCCGCGTCACCGGCAGCAGCAGCAGCAGCAGCAGCAGCAGCAGCAGCTGGTGACGCAGCAGCAACGGCGGGACGTGCTCCGGTGCCATTTTGGGGATTATGGCCATTTGGATTGTTTGGCTCGATGGGCGGCAGTCCGACAAGCTGCTCGCTCTCGCGCCAAAGCCAGTCGGCGGTGTCCATGTCACGGCCCCAGGGTACCAGGGGGAAACGCATGCAGTCCGCGTAGTAGTTGCCCGTGGAGCACTCCAGCCCGGGATCGAGGGCCAGGCGCAGCGAGGTCTGGGCGCCGGCACGCGGTGTCTTAAACAAATAGAGCGACATAACCTTGAGCATATTCCGGGTCCAGTTGGCGCCCGAAAAGTGGCGATTCAGCTCGGTGCGCACCAGGCCCGGATGGCAACAGTTGACCGTAACGCCCGTGCCCTGCAGCAGCAACGCCAGCTTCCGTGTGAACAATATGTTCGCCAGCTTGGACTGGGTGTAGGCGCCAAAGAACTTACTGTATTTGCGCTCGCTCATCAGATCCTCGCGATTGATGCGCCCGAAAAGATACGCCGCCGAGCTGACAACGACAATGCGGCTGGGTGCCGCCTGCTTGAGCCGATCCAGCAGCAGATTGGTGAGCAGAAAGTGGCCCAAATGATTGACGCCAAACTGCTGCTCGTAGCCGTCGGCGGTGAGAGTACGCGGACAGGCCATGACGCCGGCATTGTTGATCAGGAGATCGAGGCGCGTCTCCTCGGCCTTGAAGCGTGCCACAAAGTTGCGCACCGACTGCAGCGAGCCGAGATCCAAGCTGCGATTGAACAGCTGCTGGTTCTGTGTGCGATCCATGATCTCGATGCGGGCTGCCTCGCAGCGTGCCGGATCCCGGCAGGCCATGTAGATCTTGGCGCCCCGCCGCGCCAGCTCCAGCACCGTCTCCTTGCCAATGCCCGTGTTGCAGCCGGTGACGATGACCACCTTGCCATCGATGCGGTTCGGCTTGCGGTACACCGGACCCAGGATGATCTTGCGCAGCAGCCACATGACCAACGCAATGCACAGGCCGATCAGCACAAGGAGCACCAGCCACGCCCAGATGCCACGAAAGCAGAGCGCCTTCTCGGCCGCCTCGGCGGTTGGGTCGTAAACAGTCCTCGTTGTCGTGGGCGTGCCAGCCTCCGACATAGCTAGAATACGGCCTTAAGAGCTGTGCCTGTGTGTGTGCCTGTGTGTGTGTGCGTGTAGTTGTGTGTGTGCGAGCGTCAGTTGATGGCTGCAATCGGGATTGGGGGAATGATGGGAGGTGCCTGCGGGCGAGACGAAGAATAGTTTGGATAAGCAACAAGTTTATCGATAACAGATTTATTGATCGATCTTTTTTTCACAAGTGCCAAAGATCCTAAGGTGATTTACTTAACTAGCGTTAAGGTGTCGTACAAGTTAAATAAATATTTATCGATAAGTTTACGCAACAAACTAGATACATTTTTTTTTAAATAGGGCGTGAAGTTCCTGCTTAAGTTATAACAAGGCGCAGATACACATATTTATTGATAAACTTACTCAAACGCTCGATAAACTTGTCATCGATTTGTTATCGACTACGTAATATCTCTGTTTAAATATCAATTCAAAAAACATTTTCAGCTGTCACTTGGCAATTGTTCAGAAACCAATTGCAACTAAAACATGCAATTCGACTTGCAATTAGCTTTCATGATTCTCTTTAGGGATCTCTAATTGTGCGGCTCAAGCTGTTATCGAATTGAACAAGCGCCAAACATTTGCCCAGCCAGTTTTATCGATAACATTTCAACTCGAGCTACGCACTCGAGCTTATGTTTGCAGCTCAACCAAAAAAAAAAAATGAAAAAAACGACGGAAAATACTTTCCAAATATTTGTAAACACCTGACGGATCTCTTACTTGCCAAATTTGATGACCCAACTCTTCTTCTTTTTCTTCGGTCGCACTTCCTCACGCGCCAATTTCACACATTTGATCGACAACGACAACAACGACAGTTACAATGGCTTTCGTTGAGTTGAGCACTTGATGAATTGCTGCCGGCTATCTCTTGATCTGTGTACGTGCGTCTGTGTCTCTGTGTGTGTGTGTGTGTGTGTAACTGCTTCTTGGAATTGTCTTGCTGCGCCTGCTCTTGTTACCGCTGCGTCCAAGCGTCTCGCGCGATCTTAACCAACTGAAACTGAGTTCGACTCCCGTTGGCTCTGGCTCTGGCTCTGGCTACGGCTTCAGCTGAGCTGCTAACACGTCAAAAAATAACCTGAATACAATTTTGAGCGGCGACGCCGTCGCCTTTGCTGGCGTCTGTTATTAATATAAGTTTATGCATGTGCATGCGTCGCAGTTGCCGTCGGCTTCGCCGTCGCCGTCGGCGTCGCACTTCACTCCGGCTGTTGGGACAGACCAACATAGCCATAGAAGCCGCAACGGCTGCTGCTTGTTATTGCCATTTGAGTTGTCGTCGTTGTTGTTGTTGTTGTTGTTGTAAATTTCATTTCTTTTTTGCTTCTCTTGAATTATGCTTTCGACTTTCACTTTAAAGCGCTTTTTTTTCTGCGCTTCGCTGCCAGCGTCGGCGCTACCGTTGAATAATTTTCTTGCATTCCATTTTATTTGGTTGTTCACGTTCTTCGGCTTCTTCGGTTTCTTCGGCATGTTTGTTTTGATTGTTGCCGCCGCTCTCTCAACTCTGTTCGCTCTCTCTCTCGCCCATATCCCAATTGTTGGGCGGGGCTCGAAACATGTAAATTAGGCCTTGGCACAGTCTTCAAAGTATGTATGTGGACTAGTTAATGCTCAACACAAGCACACAACAAAGGCATTTTAGTTTTGATGTAGAAAATGTCGAAAATGTCACAAAAATTATGTAAATAAAACAATTGAAGAGTCTAACAAATTTGGAGTTCATGATGTGTTAAGGATTTTAGGTGAAAATTCCAAATATATTTTTCATATGAATTTTCACCAAAAAAAAAAGGGAAATAACCTCCAAATATTTGTTCAAAAAGCGTATGAGTATTATTATAATCATAATATTCGCATGTCTTCACTCTATGCATCTACTTTCTATAATAACGGGACATCTAAACCTTTTCTATAAAAAGGGAGGGAACATGGGAACATGTAGGACTCAAATCGTGCTCAGCTATGAGGGGCTTTAAGGGTTCGATTTTGGATACCTCCCAATTAAAATGGGCTTCAAAAGGATATATTTGGATCTGTCTAGTATTAGCTTCTGAAATCTTTCACCTGTATTCGGTCGGTTCCCTTTGCCTTCTGACCACAACTGCCCCATCACAAGAACAGGCCTTACCCAGGCACAACCCTCAACTGTCCAATTCGATTATTCGATCAACGATTCAGGCTACGGACTCAATTGAAATATTGGTTGCAGGCCGTTTTGCTGGGCCTATGCCCACAAGCCTCTCGCTCTCGCGCCAGAGCCAATCGGCGGTGGCCACGTCACGTGCCCAAGGCACCAGGGGACAGCGAAAAGAGTCGGCGTATAGGCCACCCGTAGAATTGGCCAGTGCCGGATCCAGGGCCAAATAGAGCTGTGTCTGGGCGCCGGCACGCGGACTCTTGAAGAAGTAAAGCGAGAGCACGCTGAGGGTTTTGAGAAACCAGCGCGGAGCGACAAAATGCCGATTGAGATCCGTGCGCACCAGGCCCGGATGGCAACAGTTGACCGTAACGCCCGTGCCCATCAGCATCATGGCCAGCTTTCGCGTGAAGAGCACATTGGCCAGCTTGGACTGGGTGTAGGCGCCCAACAGCCTGCGATAATTGCGCTCGCCCATCAGATCGTCGCGCTTGATGCGTCCGAAGAGATGCGCCACCGAGGTGACAACCACAATGCGGCTGGGCGCCGCCTGCTTGAGCCGATCCAGCAGCAGATTGGTGAGCAGAAAGTGGCCCAAATGATTGACGCCAAACTGCTGCTCGTAGCCGTCGGCGGTGAGAGTACGCGGACAGGCCATGACGCCGGCATTGTTGATCAGGAGATCGAGGCGCGTCTCCTCGGCCTTGAAGCGTGCCACAAAGTTGCGCACCGACTGCAGCGAGCCGAGATCCAAGCTGCGATTGAACAGCTGCTGGTTCTGTGTGCGATCCATGATCTCGATGCGGGCTGCCTCGCAGCGTGCCGGATCCCGGCAGGCCATGTAGATCTTGGCGCCCCGCCGCGCCAGCTCCAGCACCGTCTCCTTGCCAATGCCCGTGTTGCAGCCGGTGACGATGACCACCTTGCCATCGATGCGGTTCGGCTTGCGGTACACCGGACCCAAAATAAACTTACGCAACAGCCACAATACCAGGCCCACGGCCACTCCGATGATGAGGACCAAGACAAGTTGCAGCCAGAAGCCCTGAGAGCAGATGCTGCCCAGGTCGTACGTGTCCGGCATTGGATGCCCAACTGTAATGTTCATCTCCGCCATGACTGGAAAGCGTATGAATTGATTTGGTTATTGTCGGCGCCCAACGTGGGGCGTACAATGTATGTATACAAAATAATAGAAAATTACCGAATCAGCCGTCAAGTTCAAGTGAATTTTCTTTGGTATTTAGCCAATAATAATAATAATAATAAAAAAAGACCGACTTGGTGCTTGCTCTCGCTCTGGCCACTTTATTGGGTCACGTATTCAATTAGGACTGTCCAGAATTCCAGGTGGTTGAGTCTTTTATATGCCGCCCAAAAGGACAATTTTTTACCGATGCGAAGCGCTAATGATTTTCAGCTGGCAAAGTTTTCACCATTATTCGGACGGAAGGACGGTAGCGTGCCATAAAATATGCATTATAATTTATCATTTAGCTTAAGAAATATTTCTGCAATTGCTGGCACTTTTGTATGTAAATGACATCAATGCATGTATGTATGTACAGACATACGTCAACGAGCTCAAACTTAAAGTCTTAACTTCAATTTGCAGCCCATTATCTACATATCTGGTCGATGAGATAACGAGAACTACTTTCACTGCAAACGCATTTCTTTTGAAAAAAGTTCCCACTGCACCAAAGTTGGCTTAGTACTTGGGCTAACGAGAGCTCAGCCGATTAAAAGGAAACGCCATATGTTCGCTCGGATAACAGGAGAGCAGGAGAGCAGGAGAGCAGGAAAGTGGGCTGTGCGCTGTGGGGACAGGCACCATGGGCAAGGTTTCGAAATCAATTAGTTATAAATCCAATTAAAGTCAACGAGTCTATTGGAAAAATATAATAAGTGTTATCTGTTTGGTTCGTCGGATACCCGTAGATACATATGTATCTATGAAGTTAATGCTACAGAAAATACCTCGTCATGCAAGTTGTGCGAGTTGGGGTTATGGATCGATCAGTCTAATGTGTCTATTAGATAAATATAGCACGGGGTTATCAATCTAATCTAGTTACATATTTAATGCCAACTACATTTGCAATAAGTTCTGCAAATTATGCCTCAATAAGGTATTTGTTATACTGATTGCTAGCATTTCAAATCGAATGAGTCTATTCGATAATTATGATTGGGATAAGCATACAATAGGTATGCTAAGTAAACTCTATTTGCATTCTTTGAAATAAATACTATAAACAAAGGCTGTGTCATCTGCCTGGACGCTTGTGTTTTGCCAGAAGCAAAGCTTATTGTCTCGCAATTGTCAACAAATTGGTTGGGGCATGGCTAATGGCCCATAGAAAATGTTTTCGATTGGTTAGGAACAATAGAGGAATCCGTTTAAACACAAAATCAATAAGCCCAAGAGCCGTGAAACGTGCGTACACGCTGTTGAATGTCCTTGATACGGGCAGAAGACGGTTAGAGTACATAAGCTGGACACGGACATGACCATGACAGGCAAGTGGAAAAGTTTCGCGGGTTGGGCGGGTTTCTTTTTTTTTTTTTTTTGGGCGGCAGGGGCGTGGCCCCAACTTGTCATCTTTGCCGGCACAGACAAGCGGACCACGAAAATGTCTGTCAATGTTGTCGCCGCTGTGGCTGACGTGAGTTTTGGCATGTAAGCAGGGAGAGAGACACACAAACACACACAGGCACTCAAGGAGAGAGATTTAGAGAGAGAGAAGGAGAGAGAGAGAGAGAGAGAGAGAGAGAGCGGGAGCGGGAGAGTTGCGCACATGGGCGAAACTTTGACTAGGTCAGGATAATAAGAAGGCTTTGTTAAATCGATGGGCATTTCATGGAAGCAACCACCTCTTAAGCCATAACCAGTTCGCACTCCCTTTGACTTCCCGCCCCTGGCCGCAAACCAGTTTTGGGCAATAGTTTTGGGAATTTTCCATTGCATTCTTTCATTTCGATGTGCTTGACGCTGCACAAAAACCGTTAATATATCGATAAGCAATCGATCCAATATATATGTACAGATTCGTATAGAAATTGTGACTGTTATTTAGCACATTTTGCTCCACTGTGCAAAAAGCTCTCAGCGCTCCGCTCCGCCTAATGCGGCCGTGATCCTTTACGTTCGCTTCCATCCGTGCTATTTGCCATGCACTTATACTTACTCCATATTGCTTGCTAATTTGCTTATTCCGAGCAGCATCCGTTCATCTGAAATAGCCACGCCTAATGCGAGTGGCTTACATTAGACAAGTGCCGGTGCATGTCATCTCCTGCAATCCACTCGATACATCCTTCAACGGTTCTGGCTGCCCTGCACGCGCCGCGCCGCGCCTGGCCCCGTTGGCGTCTGTGACGTCAATGCAAATCAGCAGGGCAGGAAAGTGGGATGTGTAAGAATCAAGTACGTAAACATAAACATACACACACACACGCGCACATAGACAGAGATACACACATGCACACTTGCACACAGGCACTCGCGTTTGTTTTTCTATTTAGGTTTTGGCAACAGGCAGTTTTATCCGCTGCCGCTTCACCTTGATCTTTAGCCGATCTGTAAACAACAAGTTGAAGATGCCAAAACGCAAGAGACGAAAATAAACCAATTAATGGAGGCAACTGTACATTGGAATTGGCGTGCTCCAAGTGAAATTTATACATACATGCATATATATTTTCATGTTTCGTTTAGTTTTTGGTGCTTTGCTCATTTTCGTCAAATTGCAGCGCGTGCAATTTAGATAATCGCCGACACTCACACATACACACGCACATTAGCATCAAATGGAAGGCAACAAAAAATTAAACTGTGTAAATGCGTCGACTGAAAGACGCCGCCGCATGCAAAGCATAAGTGCATGGGGGGGAGGAGGAGAGACAAACAGGGAGAGAGAAAGAGCGAATGTGAGTACGTATAGACTTAACGACATTGGAAAGACAACTCAAGTGAAAAATTTATGGTAGGGGTCAGTGTCGCCGTCTTAAAAGTGTCACTGGCCCAGCCGCTAAATGCTCATTAGCATAACTACGTCACTGGCGTATGTGTATGTGTGTGCGTGTGTGTGTGCGAATGAGTGATATTTCTTTTGGCTGGCCAAATCGAACGGGATAAAACAAGAAATTGTTTATCAACTCATAATTGGTGAATTGAACGAGGCACGCGCAACAGATATTCATGCGGTTAGCATTGATTGGCGAATGTCGTGCGGTGGGGTGTTGAAGGATCGAGGGGTGGAGGTGGGTTGCGTTGGCATGAGTATTGTCGGTTGTGCCAATGAAAACCTGTTGCCATTTGTTGTTGTCTCGCAAAAGGCAACGAAAAATCAAGCAAAAAGCTGCTAGAAGTGCTGGCTCGACTGACAGTTACCCCTTTAAAAAAAAGTACTGCAGCTAATTTCTATCTAACCCCAATAATAATATTCACTTATGTACTTTTTTTTTGGCAGGCGTCATTATTTAAGTATATGCAGTAGTTAAGTGTGTGACCGCATTTTTTGGATTGCAAAATGCCAAATTTTGGACATCTGGCAAGGCAAAAGTAGGCAAAAAAGTCCGCAAATTTGAGAAAATTAGAAAATATATATGTATGTATGTATGTATGTATGTATATAGTTTTGTCAATCAAGGAGCTCTATGCCTTTGCAGTCGAACAAATGTGGCCTACTGAACGCAGACAAATAAAAGTTCGTTAAGATCCGTTAGAAAATGTCGAAGATCAAGCGTTATTTTACAAAAAAGAAGGAGGAGGTCGCCTTCAGGCTGCGACTGCGCAGCGGCATGGGCCAGGGACGACAGCTTAACTCGGCCCAGCCGTATGCAACGCCGAGCATCCTGCGCCGCATCCGGGATGCCCATGTGCCGCCCCAGCGCAACCAGCAGCGCGACGAGACGAGCGCCGCCGCCGCCGCCGCCGCCGCAAACGCCGTGCTGGCGAGCATGTTGCGCAAGTATAGTTCGCCAGGAGTCAGCATTTCACAGGCGGCGCCAAAGCCAAAGCCAGAGCAGCGGGAGCTGGCGTGTGAGGGCGTTTTCTTTCGCTGCCCAGAGCTGAGCCCGGAAGTGCTGTCCAAGCAGTCGTGGCAGCTTAAGATCAAGGACATGCTCCATCGACAGCTGGCGAACGAACGTGGCCTGGCCGGCTGCCTAATCATACACAATTGCAATCCAATAAAGGAGGCCGGCGACTGTCGAGACGCACTCGTCAACTATTTGGAGTACCTTATCCACAGTCCCGGCGACGAGCAGTTCTCAAAAATCCGCATGTCTAATAGTATATTCAATGACAAGGTGCGCCACGTGAATGGCGCTCTGGATGTGCTCTATGCCGCTGGCTTTGAGCAAGTCGACATTAATGGCGAGCCGTTTCTGGTCTGGAGCAAGGAGCACATTGAAATGGATCTGGACATGCTGCTGGATACTCTGAAGCATACACAGCCCATAGAATTGATATTGGATCGCAATAAAAAGGTGCTGCAGCCCATCCGGCAGATTCCCATTCAGCTGCCCGACGATTTCTTTCGCATCTCAGCGAAGGACACCAGCGAGAGCATCCAAATGCCGGATAGCAGCATATACAGCTGCACGCTGATTCGCATCAAATTCCCCAACGGACTACATCTGCAGGGCACCTTCGATGTCAACGACAAGGTTGCCGATATTTTTGATTTCGTCCAATCCTGCCTGACGGATGTGACCCTTCAGTTCGACTTGGTCGCCAACATAGCGGGCAAACTCGATGGCGGCGACATGGACAAGACCCTCTACGATTGCAAGCTCATCCCAAATGCCGTGCTACTCTTTGTTGTCCCAGGCCTGGACGATTCCCTGGCCCTTGGCTCCGCCTTCATAAAGGAGCAGCAGCAGCAGCAGCCCTTGTAGGCAGTTCCTTTTATATTTTTATACTCTCTTCTACAGACACACACACACATACAAGCAGCAAGCACACACACACACGCACACACGCGCCACCCTATACATGGCCCGATTACGGATATCTCCATTTGGATCGCGTCCATTTCGTCAAATCGTTTCGAAAATGTTAAACAAATAAAGTTTCATTGGCAGAGAAAGCTTTATTAATGTCGAACAAGGCTGCAAGCTGCTGGTTCAAACCCACAAGCCCAACCGATTCAAATCAACTCAACTCGAAATGGAACACCATCCATCCAACACGATGAAAGGTTTCTCCCGCTACTCCTTTCTGTGCCCACAACGGACGACTTGCAGACGCACGGAAATGGCTAGAACAAGTCGGCTCTAGATCGGGATCAGGAATGGGGTCAGATGGGGTAGACGCTACCCACAGCTTGTTACATACATATGTACATTTGCACACAAACTTATTATACCCCTCTTGAAGCATTCGCGTCGAGTACAGGGTATCAAAAGTAGCGAGCACTGAAAATAGCGACCTCGACCGCGCCGTAAATTAGCGAATAGAATCGAAGCAACTGAAATGTGACAATAACCACAGCAACAACAACAACAACAACAACAACAATTATTCTTAACCCGTGTCAAGGCCAACCCAATTTGTTATTGTGCATGTTGTGCGCGACAGAAAGAGTGAGGGCGATGCACAGCTAGAGCGAGCGAGAGGGCAAGCGAGTCGGAGCGTGCGAAGGCAAGTGACAAAGAATACAACAAGAAAAAAGCGCAAATATGCATGGACGAGCCATACGAAATGGGAGTGGAAATTGGCTGAGTAAGGGAGGGGGGGGGGGGGGTGCAGGGTGGTGTTGTTATTGCGAACTGGTTGCGTATTTTATGCTGTTATGTGTCAACGACAGTGGGCGTGCTGCTGCAAGCGCGTGTGCAGGCCAGCGAGGGAGAGAGGGAGGGAGGGAGGGGGGGGGGGACTGCGGGCTGCTGTGCGAAAATGCAATTTCATTTTTAATTAGCGCCAGGACGACGCGTTGCACAATAAGCAGCATCAATTTCACACAAGCATATGTAACAATATTGACAACACACACGCCCACGCACACACACACGCACACGCGCACACACACACGCGCGCACACATGGTGTGTTATATAAAGTTCAATTCGTATCGAATGGATTGCAGATTTAATTAGATGCATTCGATTTGGCAGTGCTTGATGGAGCATGAAATGCAATCCGATGAAACCAATCGGAAATGCCTGCGCATATATATATACATATATATACACACACACACACATATATGCATATACATATATATGTATGTGTGAATGGAGATGTTGCAGCCAGTAAAGCTTGCATTGCGATCGATCTGATAGATCAGCCAAGGGAACAGCACGCCGAAGATGAAATACCCTTACGGTTCGGTTAAGTGCGGGGAATTTTTAAGTTATCTTGTAAAACAGAAAAGTTTTGGTATTTATATATATATATATATAGCCAGTTCCCTGATATTGATAAGATTGTGCTCATATCTAGGGTGTTTAGAGATGTCGAGATGTTTTTTTTTTTAAAGTATGAACTTAACTTTCGACAGATTATTGCATTAATTGACAGCTATATGATATAGTGATCCATACAAACAGACAGACAGACAGACGGACAGACAGACAGTCAGACAGACAGACAGACAGACAGACAGACAGACAGACAGACGGACAGAAGGGCGGACAAGACGAAGGGTTGGCCATATCGACTGGGCTGCTGATACTAATCCAGCATATACATATATACCTTATAGGGTATGGAGATGTCTCATTCAATGCGTTGCACACTTCGTGACATAAGCGCAATTCCCTCTATAAGGGTATACAAAGATCCGAATAACTATACGTAAAGTATTTTGCATATATATATATGTATGTATAAAATGTTCTGTTTTTTTTGTTTGGTAACTTTTCTAATTTATTTTTTTTTACGTTTTTTTTACTTTTTAGTAAATTTACGTCTGAGTTTTTGTTTTGCGCTTTAGAATACGACTGCAATGCGGGTTTGAACCGAACTGGTTCAAACTCGTATAGACGATTCTCTTTTTTACTGTTACCGTACTGAACCTTAAAGCAAACTGGTTAAGATACAAATATATGTATGTATTTAAATACAGTTTAGATAATGTATACGACATGGAATATTTTAAAAATATACGACATATAAACCATATCGTAAAATATTGTTACCTTTCCGATGGACTTAAATCGGACTTTTTCCACTATTTCCCAAATGTTTCGAAGCGCCTTTCAATCATTCAATTTATGGAGCCACGAGCAAGAAGAGGAAGCGAAAAATACGGAGCGTAAATCAAAAGCTGACATTTATGAATGCATAACATGGCATACATATATGTATATGTACATATGTATATTCATCTGGTATATGACAGTATATGCGATATCTTTCTTTTTATAACCTTGCAGAGGGTATTATAATGTTGTCGTGAAATGTGTAACGCATAGAAGGAGACATCTCCAAACCCCATAAAGTATATACATATATCCATGATCAGCTGAACTAGTCTCTTCGGTTTTAAAGCTATCTTAATGAAACTTTGCAGAAGTGTCTCTTTCTGTTGCACGTGGTACATATGTCAAAACCAGCTGGATCGGACCACTATATCATATAGCTGCCATAGGAACGATTTGTCGAAAAGTAGGTTCTTGTAGGAAAAACTTTTTTGCTTTTCAAGATATCTTAACCAAACTCGTCAGTTATTAGTTTTACTATGCGCCTAATATATATGCAAAATCCCATCAACATCAGAGCAATATATCTAATAGCTGCCATAGGAACGATTTGTCGAAAAGTAGGTTCTTGTATGTAAATCTTTTTTGCTTTTCAAGATATCTTAACGAAACTCGGCAGTTATTAGTTTTACTATGCGCCTCATATATATGCAAAATCCCATCAACATCAGAGCAATATATCTAATAGCTGCCATAGGAACGATTTGTCGAAATGTAGGTTCTTGTATGAAAAACTTTTTTGCTTTTCAAGATATCTTAACCAAACTCGGCATTAACTATTCTCGCTGTGCTTCTTAGATACGAGCAAACCACCATGATCATTATGATAAGGTTGGCTCTGCAAGGGTATTGAATCTTCGGCGTGCCGAAGATAGCCCTTCTTTCTCCGTTATTTTTACTGTCATGTGAACTTGAAATATGCCAAAGCCGAAAACTGGACCAAACCGGTTTCATGCGCCATGTCCATGACAATCGATAAGAAAGCACTGATAATCAGGCACACACACACACACACACGCGTAGTACAAATATTGCTAATATCTATTGTTTTTTTTTTTATCTACAAATGCCTTGCACTTGCACTTGTTTATAGAAAATAAAAAAACACAATTCAATTCCAAGTTCTTGATATGACTAATTGAATGACAACAACAACAACAACAACAACAACAACAACAACAACAACAACAACAACAACAATAGCAACAACAGTAAACAGAAAGAATCTAAAAGCGCAGTTAAAATTGTTACGTTATTTGTAGAGTCGCGAGAAATCTCGAAGCTTTGCCCAAAGTCCATTTCTCGGATCATTTTTGCCTCGCGGCGCATCTATATTTAGACTTTCGACTCATTTCTTGACCATTTTTATTGATGTTCTTTTTGTTGGCACTGAATTGTAATTGAAATATTAACGTGTCGACTAGAATTGGATTGTTAATATATGCCCCATGTCTGCCATATAGTGCCATATAAATCCTAAGTTTTCCTATACATATGTATATATATATATATATATATGGATTGCAAACATCTGTGCATTATATGCTTCCCAATCTATTAGCAGATCCAAAACTTGAACAGTTTTCTAAGCGATATTTCGACTAAAAGTACATAGTAAAAAGTTAAAATACCCTGTAAATTGGCATACTTATCTGTAATATGTTAAGTATTTTGGTCTTCGGTTCAGCGATTTGGTTTTCCTCAGCCAAAAGTTTGAAAGCACAGTTCGTATTTGATTGCACGACGTACCTCATGCCAAGCAAATTTTGTAGGGTATTTAAGTTCCGAAAGATTGACAATTTGTTGCTTTCCAAGGGGCTTAAGAGAACTTCGATAATCCCACAAGAAGATTACTCAAACTGCAGGGTATTTAATGTTGAGATTCTTTTTATAAATACTTTACAGGGTAGCTGCACTGCACAAACGACTCGAGCAATACAATTTTTGATCTAATTAATGCACCGGAATTGGACAAAAAGGCTTGGGTTATTGGTTAATATGCTGGGCGTAGCTCCTACACATTTTACAGGGTATTCACACTCTAATATTTTGATGCAGAGTCCGAGAAACCTTACTTGCGACTTCAGAGTGTATAATACCCGGCTTGAAACAGTTTTACAGGGCATAACAGCTTAGTGGGCCTTAATTATAACCATTTTACAGGGTATCTCATAGAGGCAAATATACAAGGACATTCGCATTCATAGGGCAATTTCATAAAGTATGAAAGAGAGAGAGAGCGAGAGAGAGAGAGAAAACGCGTTTTATTGAAAGTTTCACAAAATCGGACTCTGAGCACCGAAGTTATTCAAGAATTCATTTGTGGACGCCAGAATGCTTGCTAAAGGGTATCTCCCGGTCGGGCACTCTTACTTAACGTTTTTGTCATTGGTATTGATTTTTTGGCCGCCTTTTTGCTTTTCCGCATGCCGCAAGAGTCAAAGAAAGCGCAAATGAATGCAACACGCTCGCTATTTCGATGCGGGGGAGGGGGGGGGGGTGGAGGGGGGAGCTGTGGTTTTTTTTTTTGGCGGCATATTATGTACGGGGCTGGCGCCCAACGCATATGCTGCGCACTTGGCATGCATTCAGTCAACCTTTATCCCCCCCCCCCCTCTTCCCTCTTATCAGCCGCCCCCGTTGCGGCGGTCTGTTGAGCTTGTTGCGTGTTGGCGTGCCACAAGGAAAACCCAGTCAAATTATAGAGCTAAAAAGCATTGTTTTACTGATTACGTATATTATTCAAATTGTTTTTTAATCATTTTTTTATTGGTTATTTTGTGTATTTTCTCGTTTTGAGTGTGTTTTTTGTTATGAAATAAAGCGCTAAAAATTTACAAATAATAATTACATATGTATTTGTATATCATATTTATATATATATATATGTATATATATGTGTATATATGTGTGTATAAACAACAATAAAAAAAAGTTTGATAATAATTATAATATAGGTGTATAGGTACAAATGTTGCGGTATTTATAATATACCAAATATTATATGTATAAGTATATATATAGTTATATAATGTTACTTTTGTCAAGTCTGTTATATATTTTGTTTATCATCAGCTCTGTTTTGTTTTGTATTTTGCTCGCAACAGTAAATAAATATGTACAATATATATTTATATAACTTGACATATAAATATACATGTATACATACATATATTGTCATTAAATTGCGCTTAAATTTAACATTTCAATTTTGTTTTCAACTGTCCTTTTTTTTTTTTTAAAGCAAATTCTTGTGTCTATTTTTAGTGTCTTTTGCTACTCGTTTTGTGTGTTTGTTTCTTGTTGTTGTTGTTGTTGTTGTTGTACAATGCAATTGGCAGTTGCAATTTTGTCTCATTTAAATGGTTCTTTGTCTCATTCTAGCGAAACCGTTATGCTTAATGCTAAGCTGCGTGTTTTCTGTGGTTTCTATGGTTTCTCTTGTTGCATATGTAGGCTGTGTGCGTGTGTGTGTGCGAGTGTGTGTGTGCATGTCTGTTTGTGTGGAAGCCTTTTTTTTTCACTGTTTCACGAACATTAAGCACATGTAAATACATATAAATATATTTGTGTATATATGTAAATATAATTAGTTAACTAAGATATTATTTATAAATCAATTTGTTTATGTATATATATATTGAAGGAAAACTTGTCTAAAATCCATCTTTTCTTTTTTGTTTTTGTTTTTAAATAAAATTCTAAAAAAAAAAAAAACCAATTGCAAAAAAAAAATAGTTTAACAAAACATTTGCAAACAGCTGGCAACTCATCCAACACGCCAAGGCCTTCTCGCTACCTGTTTTCCAATGCCTATGGCTGCCGCCACCCAATTTGATTATTTGGCACATCTGGCAACGCCACATCCACATCCACATCTGCACATCTGTACGCCAGTGCGGTCGCCGCCGCAGCTGCATTCCTAGCATTTCCAGCATTCGAATTTCGCTTTCGAATTTTATCGTTTCCATTGCCCATACGCAAAACGCAGCGCGCTTAGCCCGGCGACGAGGTGGAGCGGCGCAGTCGCAGCTTTAGGCGATTAATGCTGCTGCCGCCGCCGCCGCCGCCGCTGCTGCAGCGACGACGACTGCGACGTATGGTATACGGACTGCTAGCGGTTAGGTGCTCAGCGCTGCCGCCACCGCCGCTGCCGTTGTGTGCATCGACATCATCAAAGTCCAGCTCAGGTGCAGCTGCGCCGCCGCCGCTGCCACCAGCAGTGACAGCGGCTGCGCCGAATGCTTGGCAGCAGCGCCTAAATCGTCGGCCCAAACGGCTGACGAAACCGGAACGCTGCGGTGTGCTGCCAGCGTCGCTGTCAAGCTGCGAGCTATTGTTGTTGTTATTGGCGGCGGCGCCGCCGGCGACGCTGCTGCCGCTGCAATTGTGGTTGTTGTTGTTGCTGTTTTGGTTGTTGCTGCTGCTGCTGTTTGTGTGTGAGACGCGTTCTCATGACCGCTTGCCGCTGTCCTTGCGAAAGGACCTGCGCAGCTTGTCAACCAAACGCAAATGGAATTTAGTATAATCGTTGTTGCTCTGCTCCGTCCGATGCTGCTGCACCGTGGCCGCTGCCTCGGCGGCTTGTGCCGCTGCTGCTGCCGACTGAGCGGCAGCCTGTGCGGCCGCCTGACGCTCCAGCGCCGAGGCGGTCTGCGTGCGGCTGGGCGGACTCGAGCGCGTTGGCGACATCAGAATGCCCTGCGACATTTGCACCATGGAGCCGCCGTGTGAGTTGCGGGACGTGTTGCGCGTGAAGCCGCGGGAGCTGTGGCAGCGCTGCATCTGCATGCGATGGGCGCCCAACTGGCCGTGCGACGGCGACGTCGCAAAACTCTCCGACTTGCATTCGGACACCTTGCGTCGACGTTGCTGCTGCTGCTGCTGCTGCGTCGCATGACCCGGTGTGCCCAATGCACTGGCCAACGCTGTGGTCCCGTTGCCGCTGCTCACATTGGAGCACTCGGACGTTTTGCGGCTACGGGAGCGCGTGTCCTTATAGATATCATAGTTGTTCTTCATAACCGGCATCATAAAAGCCATTTTGTTGTTCTTGTTGTTTATGTTATTATGCACAAAAAAAAAAATAACTAGAACAAACACAGCCACAAATCAAGAACCCAAAAAAATTACAACAAAAATCGGATTACTAATCAAAACAAATCGCTACGTTCGTCTTCTGTTTCTTCTATATATTCTAGACGTTTCTATTTGTATGCGCGCAGTTGTTCTTTACCGTTTGCTTACGTTCACTGAACTGTTCGCTGCGATTCAAAAATGCATTTCACATGCAACTCAACTCGACTTTCGGTCTCTCTTCTTTTTGTATTATTCTTTTTACTCGATTAGAAACTTTTGTATCGTGCGCTGTACGTCTGCTCGGTGCGACTGCTGAATTGTATTTGAATCGTATTAAAAATGAACGCTGCAGATTTGACGCGGCCAGCCGCCGGAGAGCGTGACCAACATAAGGAGGGAGAGAGCGAAAGAGAGCAGCATGCGCTCTCTTGCTACGTCATCAAATAGCATTGCTTATGTGTGTGTGTGTGTGGGGATGAGAGCTCTCAACTGTTGGATTTGACTATGTGTGGTGGTCGTTGCTTGGGAAGGGATGCGAGGGGGAGTGTGTCTCCACGTGCAATTGGGGTTGTTTATATTTTGAAGCTGACGATATTGATTATCAATATCGTTTAATTAATGCTCTCGTCAAAAGAACACTGAATGATTAAGTGATATAATTTTATACATACATATATATATGTATATAAGTATTTACACATGCATGCTTCACCTAGTGAAATTCATGACACATTAAAATTATTCATTTTTGAAAATGAACGTGCCTACATATAGTAAACTTAAAGATATGTTTATATGTTTATAATTTCGCAGCACTTTTAAACACTATCAAACATACTTACGATATTTGGCATACTTACGATATTTAACACTGTCTTATGCACGATCATTTGTTACGTTTTTACGGTGTACAACTCACGGGCGACACACACACACACACACGCTTATTTGCTGTCAGTTTTACGTATCCTTTGAATAGGTCAACTAAAGGAATGCAGTTTGTAGGGTTAGGCAAAGAACGAACGAGAACAGCGACAGCTTTGTTACTTTTTTTGATTACTTTTTATTTGTAAAATATAATAAATAAAATGCACTTAAGATTTTCAAATAGTGGACACAGCAAAATGTAGATGCTGCTGCCTAAATTCGACAATGCACATTTTAAGCGCTTCTAATTTTTTGAGCGCCATTGTTGCGGAGAGCATGAGCCATGTGCCAGCACGTGAGAGAGAGAGAGAGAGAGAGAACGTGAGAGCGCGCGTGCGCTGTTGTGCGGGTCAGTTGTGCCATGTGAATGTTTACACAGTGCGTTGCTTGTGCTTTGCGCGATTTGATGATAAGCGCAACGCTCCAAGTGTTGTAAATATAATGGATATCGGCTTTATCCACACTGGATCTTATTTTGATACATTTTGTGCGGCCAATCTCCAAATACTTACGATTTGTATGAAAACAAAAAATACACAAAATGGTTAGAAATCAAATTTCGCCAAGTGGCAACCTTGGTTGGGTTCTCTTGTGTACTTTTTCGTTGATTCTAACGGAAACTGATTGCATAATTGCAGGTGAAATATGCAGTGCTTAAACGAATATACACATAATGTGTGTTTAACAATTTATAATCATGACAAATTGACAACGGCCAGACGAGTATCAGAGCCAAATGCAAACATACTAATTACATGGTCTATAGATATCATTGCTTATCAGTTGTACCGCATGCGACTTACCGGAATATCTTTGTGTAGTGTTATTTGCATTTGGTCCCCGGACTTATGCCCGCCCAGTTTAAGTAAATCAAACTGCGGCATTTGTTTATTGTTTTTTTTTTTTTTTATTGTTTTTTGAAATTTTTCTTCGTTCACTTTAATGAATAATTTTCAATTAATGTTTGTTATTTTTTTTATTTTTTGACTTTGGGTTTTTCTCATTTTCGGTTTCTGCTGATTTTCAGATTTTCTTGTTCACGTACTTAAGTTTATCTATATGAATTGTTAAATAATGAAAGTGCATAGACTCGTACATTGACCTTTGACTTCAAACGTTTTTCTTATTTTTTTTGTTGTTTTTTTTTTGCATAGATGAATGTTGAAATTGTTGTTTTTTTTTTTTGTTTAAATTTGTAACAATTTAAGTTGATTTTTGGTTTTGTTTATTCGATTTCAAATATTTGTTCTGTATTTAAATGCATTTTTTTTTAACAACAGTTTTGCTCTTCGTATTCGTATTCGTATTTCGGGTTAATTATTTAATCAGCGTTTAAAGTTCTCTTTTGTTAGTTCCGTTTAAGGTAATACAATAGCTTATAAAAAAACATAACTTATAAATATATATATATATATATATTAATATATATATAGGTATACAAACGTGTGAAGCATTAATAACCGTATGCCGAAAAAGAAGAGTCAAAAAGTCGAAAGGAATCTATATAAATGTTTATAGTTATACAATACAATATATATATATATATACATAGATATATATATTGTTGAAATTATTGTACAAATTTGTAACATTTTGCATAATTTCTTATGATTATTATTTTTATTTATTTTCATTTCATTTCAAGTGCATTTTGTGCTTGTTCTTCAAGTTTAGTTTCTACAAAAAAAAAAAACAAACAAACAAACACTTTTCCTTAAGTTTTTCCAATTTCCTCATAAGATCCATACAAAAATTGTATTTGGGTATTTCAGTGCCGAAAAAAAAAAAACTCCTAATTTTTGCACTGTTTTTGTTTTGAGTACATTTTAAAGTTATTTTTTTTTTATTTGTTTTCTATGTGTATTTATTTCGTATTTGTATAATTTACCTAATTATTATTATGCTTTTCCGTTTCCGTTTCCGTTTCCGTTTCCGCGTCTGCTTCTTTCTCCTATTCTGTTTCCATTAAATGAATGTCCGTTGCGCTAATATCAATTTTGTATTTAAATACTAGCTAAAGTTTTTTTCGTTTTTTAAGTTCTTTTTTATATATGTAGTATGTGTTTTTTTATTCAACTGACAATCTGGCTTTACATGATAAGTCGCAGTCGACTGCGCATGAACCTGCCGCCGGAATTGTGTTCAAGGAAAACTGGTTACAATTTTCCAGACGAGCAACCGACTAAATAATCGAAAAAAATAATACGTATCATACAAAAAAAAAAAAAAAAAAAAAAATACTAAAAATAAATAAATAGAACAATAATAAAAAATAATAATAATAAAAAGAAAAACTTGAAAAAAAAATGAAATAATTAATAATGATAATAAAAAATAAAATAAAAATCCAATATAATATAATAAATATATGACAAACAATCAAATTAAAAAATTTAATACGCTTCATACCAGTATTAAAAAAAAAATAAAAAATAAAAATAATATAGACCACTATATATGTATATACATAAACTAAACAATAAAAAAAAATTATTAATAAATTAGCAATAAAATAAAATAAAAAAAAAATAGATAAAAAAAAATTTAAAATAAAAATGATAATATCTTAAAAACATGTTAAAAAATAATTGTAATAAATACTAAAATAAAATGCTGGCAGTGGCTATTTAATATTACATAATACTCTTTAAATCGAAAGCATAAACCGTGGCTGGAGGAAAACGGCTGCTGGCCAGGGCTGCAGGAATTGCTGGTTATGCTAGGCTAGCCAGGGCTGCCAGACTAGTGAATGCAAGCAATAGGCCAGGCACAGGCACAGGCTGGGCATAGTTATCTGCTTTGGTGGGTGGTTATAAAGTACATATAGAGATGCTGTCAGGGTTGCCAGTTGTCAGTCTTCAGACTTGTTATTTAGTTTCATTATACATATGTTATACGCACACATACATACATATCTTTGCTGGGCGAGTGCCACACCCACCCGCCTTGTTCGACTGTTGAGCTTTAACAGAATTGAGTTATTTGATCTGAGCTAAATATGGGTAACAACTACACAATACACAATACTTAGGATCTGACAGTTGCAGTTACAGTTACAGTTACAGTTACAGTTACAACAGATTTTCAGTTATCCGATTATCATAATACTCTATGTAGATATAGATACAGATATACAGTAGACTATAAATCATAACATTATCAAGATCACATCAAATTTGCCAGCGAATAACTCCCAAAAGCAGTTGGCATTTGCCGTATATCCATATATATTATATATATATATATATATATATATATATATGTGTGTATAGTGTATATATAGTCGGTCTAGGTATTAGTTAAATATTGAGTTAATTGTTGTTTTTCGCACTTTCAAGTAATCGTAGGTAAGTGTATATATGTATATATATTTAGCGAATAGAATCGAAGGGAAATACTCGATGTGATGCCCCTTTAAATTTTTGGGTTTTCTTCTCATTTTACTTTCTCGACTTTTTGTTCGTTTTTGTTTTTGGGTTTCATTTTGTTTTGCTTGTAACAACCGCACTGCTTGAGGTACATACATTAAGGATATCCGAGCCAAGGACTTTATCTTTATCTTTTTCTTTGTTTTTTGTTTTTGTTTTTGTTGGCCTTTAGCTTATTGAGTGCATTTTTTCGCTACCCTGAAGATGCAATAGTTAGGTAAGTACGAAAATAAATATTGAATGAATTAGAGCGAGGAAAAGAATTTACTTTCTATCGGGAAACTTGCGATTTCTGGAGCTGGTTGCAGCGTCGCGACGTGGAAACTCCTCCATCTGAGTGGACATGTTAAATGGGAGAGAGAGAAAGCCGGTTAAGGAGAGTGTGAGAGTGAGAGAGTGAGAGAGAGAGAGAGAGGGGGAAGAACAACATGAGTGTAATACGTGAAAGAGCGAGAAAGAGAGATTAGCTGTAAGCGCAATCATTGTGCGTGTAGTAGAGAAGTGTTACAGCAGATAGAGAGAGAGAGTGGAGAGTGGAGAGTGGAATGTCTCCAGTTCTGCAATAAAGTATGCTTGCATAGATGCGTGTCATAGCAAAAAGAGGCTGGCTGTGATGAGTGTGCGCACGATCGAAAGAGAGTGAGAGCGAGAGCGAGAGCGAGAGCGAGATAGCAGCATGTTGTGGGTCGCGTAAATTTCGTATCTGTCAGCTTGCGAGCTTCCGAGTGAAATATCAGCTCTCTTTTTTTTTTTTTCAAAATTGTCTCTGCTCTCATTTTTCGCAACAGAAGAGCTGACGTGTTGTCGCACATACGCCCAGTATTACACTCACAAATGTTCATGTCTAACAGACAACGTTGCGGACATGTCCGGCAGAGCGTCTTGCTTGTTGATTAGCTGAACAGTTTGTCCAGAGTTGCATGCCGAAATGTTTTCCGATCTCACGAACGCTCGCCGACTTACCCTTTGACCTGTGCTCTTGTTGCCGTGACGGGCTGGCGGTGGCAGCGGCTCATTTGTGTCGACTCTTTGGAAGAGATTTAAGGGCATTATTGAATGCAATGCTTACCTCTGCGTTGCATGTGCGCGCTATTACCTGGTCTCCGCAGACGCTTCGGGCTCGAGCAGCGGCAACATATCCTCGCCCTGCTGCACCAGCTCAACGGAAGCCAGCGAATCGCTACCCGTGCCCGTGCCCGTGCCCGTGCCCGTCTCAGTGCTGACATCCTTGTCCTGGTCAGCTGTGTTGGTTGTGGTTGTGGCTGTGGCTGCAGAGGATTCGCCACGCTCTGCCTCGTGGCACTCGCACTGGCAGTCCTCCGGCTTGACGTAGTTGTAGTGCAGCTTGTCCCCAGAGGCCGCATCCTGGCGCGGCTGCTGCTGCTGCTGCTGCTGATGATGATGGCTGTGGCTGTGGCTGTGGCTGTGGCCATGATGGGCATGCGGATGGCCGAAGGAGCTGCGATGTGCCGTGGCACAGCCGGAGGCCGACGATGCACTCGTTATGGCCGCCGTTGTGGTCGTTGTTATTGTCTCCTTTGGCAGCGTGGTGATCCGCTTGGCCGGCTTACGTTTCTCGGGTATGTTCTCAAAGTCAATCCAGTGGCCGGACAGCTTGCGCTGTGTCGATGCCTTCGGCTTCGGCTCCTCCAGGCTGGCGGGCATGCTCGGCGCTTGCCCCTGGCCCTGACTTTGGCCCTGACTTTGGCCCTGACTTTGGCCAGTTGGTGTGGCCGGCAGGAGCTGTTTGTTGGAATCCTTGCGCTCGAGATTGTGGTTGGCGCGCAGACCCTCCTCGGCGAACTCGAACCAGGACTTGCCGCTGGCATTGGAGATGCGGCGCGGCGACTTTGTGCTCTGCGCCTTATCCTTGATGGCCGCATCCTTGCGCGGCAGGCTAATGCGCAGCTTCTCGCCACGAACGGGCCCGGCATAGCCCGCATCCAGTTCGTGGTTAGCGTGCGGCGACTCCTGCGGCGTCATAATGCCCGTACAGTACTCCTCCAAATGGGAGGGATTCAGCGGCGTTGTCGAGCGCGGCCGATCGACGGGACATGTCCTCAGCTCCATATTGGCGCGCTCCTTCATCGGGATTAGCGGCACGCCCTGGGCCCGCTCCTCCGGCAGCGTGGTCGGCACATATGGCAGCTCATCGTCGAAGGACTCGTTCGAGACGAGGCCGGTGCTCTCGTGCTCCTCGATCATGCACACGTTGCGCGGAAAATGATGACGCTTGCCATCTGCGCCCATCGGCACCGCCGTCGCCATTGACGAGCTGCCCGCCATGTCCGAGTCGCGTTCGCTCTCCGACGACTCGATCGGCTCGTGCTCGTGCTCGTCCGTCGACTGTCGCTCCGAGCGTTCGCCGGGCGGCGGTGGCGACAGATCCTCCAGCTCGTACAGCTCCTGCGGCTCCGACTGTATCTCCAGCTCCGTCTTCAGCTCCGTCTTCAGCTCCGTCTTCAGTTCCGGTTCCGGTTCCGGTTCCGGCTCTGGCATTGCTAGAAAATTGGAATACGTTGACTCGGAATTAGACAGCACCCGGATATAAGACATGGCTAGCCACAATCTGCTCAATCGTATAATTCTACTCAGTTTCGACAGGCGGCAAAAAAAAAAAATTAAAAAATAAATTTAATCTCCGAGTTCCAAAGCAAAATACAATGCACAGCGTTCGTTCAGTGCGAGAATGCGAGAATGCCTCAAAAAATGTTTATTATTCGATTCGATTCGAAAGTTCTTCAAATTCAACGCTTGCTTCATTCACTTTCCAAAATTTCATCAGCTTGATCAATAAATATTCTAGAGTATTCAATTCATTTATTTTCAATTGCTTAGAAATTCCTCTGGAATCGACACACAGCTGGCTTTTCAGAAATTCCACGCTTAAGCGTGAAAAATGAGTGGAAAACTAGCGTTAGTTATTGGAAACCATGCGAAAAATGACCTTAATATGGGGAATCTACAAGTCACGATATCAAATTTGTCTACGAAGTTGGCTCAATTTTCGGCAAATTCACTTTCACGTTCGGGATTTGAATCGGAAAATTGCTGTCTTCAGCCTTCAACTTTCAATTCACGCATGTTTCACGCTTAAACGTGAAACTAAGTAAGATTTATAAAAATCATTTAATGCATTCGTTTTATCAACAAAATAATTATCAAAGTGAGTTAATTGATTCAAAATGAATATTCATGAATTTGCGGGAAATTATAACACGAGGAAAGCGAATTTCAATAAATGTAAATGAGCTAGCGTATATTTATACTCTGTTCCGAAGCTGAAAACGAGCATATAAGCTTGCAATATACTTGCTATTTGTTTATTATTATTTATGTTTTCCTATATTTTCCAGTTCAACAACATTTTCACGTCCAGCCCCAAAGATCGAGTCCAATCCAAAATTTGCAAAAATTGATCGAAAATGTGATCAATTGTGATTGGGATATATAGACTTTACCAAGTTAATATTCGAAGCTTTAGGTCTCTGGCCTTAACACTCGTTTTCAGTTCATGTTTCACCCTGTTTCCACCGAAATGGGCGGAATTGTTTCGCATGCATGGATAAGATGTTGATTCATGTACTTACGCTTCGCTTCCGGCACGCTCTGTCGCTTGGGCTTGCGCGGCACAGTTCCCGTCACATTTCCGGTCACATTCCCAGTCACATTCCCAGTCACATTCCCAGTCACATGGTCAGTCACGTTCTCGTGATACTTTTTGCGCACATCGAAGCTCTCGAGGTAGCGCGAATGCCGCACATCGGCGGACGGGGGGGCAGCTGAAGAAGAAGAAGCAATCGGAGTTGTTGTTGTTGTTGCAGCTGCTTCCTCCTCGGAGTTGGAGCAGGACTTGTGCTTGGAGCGCATGACAACGACGGCGGCGCTGACAACAATGGCAGCGGGTGGCTGTTCCTCCTCCTCGGAGCTGGTGGAGGGCGCCGTCGGCCGAGCTGTGGCATCTGTGCGCCGGATGACGGTGCCCTGGCGCTGCAGTCCGTCCGTGGTGCAGTCGGAGGCCGTTGAGCCGGAATCGGGCGGCTGCACCTGCTCGGACAGCTGGCTGGACTGGCTCTCCGTTTTCGAGATGCTGAACTGTGTGGAAAAGAGCTGCTCCTGGCTGCCGGAGCCGAGCCGTGTGGCGAACAGCAGACGCCGCCGCTCCTTGGCGGCGGCATCCTCCGTCGGCGCATTGACGGTGGCCACCGTCTGCACCAGACGCGGCTCGCCGGCGCTCTGCGTGCTGTCCACCGATGCCAGACGCTGCATTTCGGCCAGCCCATTCTCGCGCAATCCATTCCCAGCGATCCGGCCCACCGATTGCAGCGTCTCTTTGGATTCCGCTTCCTCCTGCGTTTGTATTGCATCCAGATCGGCGCGTGGCCGTGCGGACGCAGTGCGCTGACCAACCGGACGCAGTGCAGCCGCCGCCGCGGCCAGCTGGCTGGCCGTGATGGGCGCACCGGCACCAGCTGGAGCCGGCATTGTGGCTGCCGTGACGGCGGCACCAAGGATTCGCGGCCGTTCGATGGGCGGCGGCGATGGCGCCACCAGCTGCTGTATGCCCGCGAGCAGAGTGCGCGCCTCCCGCTCCTCGGGCGGCGTATGCAGCGGTATGTGTATGTAGCCCTCGACGGGCTCATCATAGTACCTTAGCCGGCTGTTTGGCCGTGATCCGGCCGGCGTGCGATTACGTCCGCCGTTGCCGTTGCCGGAGCCGGGCGCTGGCGGCGGCGGTGGCGGCGGCTCAGCGCAATCGATGGGCGAGGAGCTCTTGGAGCTTTTGGTGGCATCCGTGCCGGCGCTGCTGCCCCGTTTGCCCGGCTTAAAAATGGCCAGCACCGATTTCTGTTTGCTGGGCGTCACATTCTGTGAACCGGCTCCGGCTACGGCTCCGGCTCCGGCGTGGGTCAGTGCCATCGCCGTCGATGGTCGCTCTTTGCTCTTGCTGCGCGAACGGTTGGCCTCGCGCGGCGAGTCCGGCGAGTCCTTGCCGAGCCGGAACAGCGAGCTGAACGAACTCTTCCGGGAGACCGAGACGCCGCCTGGCGCCGCCGCCGGCGAGGGCGAGCGACTGGTCAGGCGCATAACATGCCGCGATAACTTCGGACTGGCCGTCGGCGTGAGACGATGCTCATCCAGCCCGCTGCCCTGCAGGCTGAGCGAGGCGGGCTTCGTCTGCGACTGCGAGTAGACGGGCGCCAGCTGATTGGGCGCCTCGACGACGCGCTCATTGGCCGCAATGCCCTTGTCGCTGTACATGTGATCCGGACGCAGATTGATGCGTATATATTCCGTGCCGCTAGCCGTCTTGCCCACAACCATCTGACCGGGACTCTTGGTGCTGCGCCGCTGGGCGCCCATAATGCCAACGCCGGGCCTGGCTGAGCTTGTGCTGGGCCTGCTGTCATTGGCCAGGCTGGTGGGCTTGTTGCGGCGTGCCGCTGTGCTGGCCGGCTGCAGCTGTATGCCCTCGGCCAGCACTGCCTGGGTGGGATCATGTCTGGTGCGTGCCAGCAGCAGCTGTTCGACGACGAGCGTCGCCTCCGCCAGGCTCTGGGCGGAGCTGGGCGCAGTCGAGGCATTGCTGCCGCCGCCGACGCCGCCGCCGCCAGCCGTGCCCTCGACAGGCTTTGGTCCGCAAAAGGATGTCTCCAGCAGCATGCGATGCGGCGACGGTGAGCGCGACACGCAGGAGACGGCCGACAGGCGGCTAACGGCCGAGCCCTGGCTGCCGACGCTCGAGATGCGGCTGGTGCGGCCGGAGATGCACAGCAGGGCGGCCACCTCCGAGCTGGCCGAGTCCTTGCGCTGATGCTGCTGCAGATAGCTCTGGTGCTCGTCGAACTTGAAGATGTGCGGCGACGTCCGCTTCGCCTGTCCGCCAACAAGCCAGAACCAATAAGCCAAAAGGCGACAAGGCGAAAAGGAAGAAGGAAGAAGAAGGAAGAAGGAAGAGTCATCAGTGAATGTTTAACCAAGCTGACGACAGCTCGACCAGGATTATTGTCGCCCGAGGCGACGTTCAAGACGACAACGCACAAAAAGCTCTGAGGGGCTGCGCTCTAGTCGAAACTGACCGACTAAAAGATACCCTATATATATTATATAAGTGTATACACAAATGCACTTATTAGCCAGCTGAAAAGTCTGAAGAGAGGCGCTCTAGTCGAAACTGACCGACTAAAAGATACCCTATATAGATTATATAAGTGTATATACAAATGCATTTATTAGCCAGCTGAAAGGTCTGAAGAGCTGCGCTCTAGTCGAAACTGACCGACTAAAAGATACCCTATATATATTATATATTGTATATAAATTAGCCTACTGCACACTTTGAGCAGCTTTTTCTCTCAACATTCCCAAAATGTTTACTCTTAAATAACTTTCGCAACGTTTTTTTCTAAACTTTGGTTACTTTTCGGATCGCCAATATGGCTTTCCCATAAGTGTATCTACCCAATAATCAAACACACCAAAAGTGATATATGCTTTATAAGTTGATGCTTTCTGGGCAAAAAAAAAGGTTCAATCTGCTGTAGCTGGCTTTCAAAATCTTCGAGATATGTAAATCATCGATATTTATCGATTTTGTGGCTGATAATTGATAGTTTGTTTTGTATTTAATCCAAGACTTGGTTTTCAAAATCGATATTTATCAATTTTAAAGAAATTTGTAAAATTAGCAAGAAATAAGTTAAGTTTCTAACAAATATTGTTACCACTAGAAGCTAAACTCTAAGAAAAATGTGCTAAGAATAATTTGGAAATAAGTTTTCATCGTTTTCCCAGGCAGCTATCGTGTTATCGATAACTTGATATGCAACTATCATACTTCCTCCTTAGTTTTCACTTTCGTATTTCTATAGTCGGACGGACATGATGGCATCGATTACAGGGTATATCAAGCAATCCAAATGCCACTTTAAAGATTGACAAAAAGAGAAGCGCATTACCCAAAACACAATCTCAGACTTGCATTCAATCGCATGTCAACAGCACTTCGACACTCAAAGCGATAGAGTTAGAGAGAGAAAGGAGAGAGAGAGAGAGAAAAGGAGAGAGAAAGAGAGAGAGAGAGAGATGTATAGAGAGAAGGGGCCAAACAAAACATGCAAGCAAGCTAATATTATTTGTTAGAATAGTGGACTCGATGGGAATTCAAGAACATGCAAAGCACTCGAAAGAGCTGTGCGAAATGTGACCAAAATCGAAAAAAAAAACAACACACAGAAACAAAAACAATGTGACCCAATGTGAAATAAATGAATTAGTAACTGCGACACAAACCGGCTGGTTCACAGTTGGGTGAAATGTCAGCTGCAGCAGTTATCCGAATCGAATTTTAATATTTAATTGGAGCAGACAGTTGGAAAATTGGTTTATTCGTGGGCGGGGCTATGCAGCCCAAAATGTTTTAAACCCCGTCATCGGGGCGTGCAACTGATTGACATTGCAACTAACGAGTCACTAACGAACTTATAAAGTTTTTAACGAATCAGATGTGACTGGTTATTGCAATTAACGCATTGATTATGTATTGCAATGCGCAAATGTTAGCTTTTAACAAGCCATAATGGCTTCGGCATGGCTAATAAATTCGAGTTTCGCGTGGCCTCCCAGCCACAGACTATTTTGCAAAAGTTGTGAACATCGGCGAGCTGGCCAAGGCTGTCCGTTTTGCGCTCTGCTGTGGCTGGCGTGCTTTTAATAAAAAAAATTAATTTCCAGCCACTTGCTAATCCATCAAGCCGCCAAGAGCCCGTAGTTGGCGTATCTGTTACCGACAAGAATTTAATTAACCTGGCAAAGAGCGGGCAGGTCAACAGTTTTCCGCTTTGTGGCCTCTGTGCCAAAAGCAGACGGCTTTGGACAGCAATTTCCGCAGAATCAGATACTGTTTATTATTTCTAAAATAATAAATAAATATCATCAATATTTTCATAATTGTCATTGTCATTGTCATTGTCATTGTCATTGTCATTGTTATGTCATTGTCATTGTCATTGTCATTGTCATTGTCATTGTCATTGTCATTGTCATTGTCATTGTCATTGTCATTGTCATTGTCATTGTCATTGTCATTGTCATTGTCATTGTCATTGTCATTGTCATTGTCATTGTCATTGTCATTGTCATTGTCATTGTCATTGTCATTGTCATTGTCATTGTCATTGTCATTGTCATTGTCATTGTCATTGTCATTGTCATTGTCATTGTCATTGTCATTGTCATTGTCATTGTCATTGTCATTGTCATTGTCATTGTCATTGTCATTGTCATTGTCATTGTCATTGTCATTGTCATTGTCATTGTCATTGTCATTGTCATTGTCATTGTCATTGTCATTGTCATTGTCATTGTCATTGTCATTGTCATTGTCATTGTCATTGTCATTGTCATTGTCATTGTCATTGTCATTGTCATTGTCATTGTCATTGTCATTGTCATTGTCATTGTCATTGTCATTGTCATTGTCATTGTCATTGTCATTGTCATTGTCATTGTCATTGTCATTGTCATTGTCATTGTCATTGTCATTGTCATTGTCATTGTCATTGTCATTGTCATTGTCATTGTCATTGTCATTGTCATTGTCATTGTCATTGTCATTGTCATTGTCATTGTCATTGTCATTGTCATTGTCATTGTCATTGTCATTGTCATTGTCATTGTCATTGTCATTGTCATTGTCATTGTCATTGTCATTGTCATTGTCATTGTCATTGTCATTGTCATTGTCATTGTCATTGTCATTGTCATTGTCATTGTCATTGTCATTGTCATTGTCATTGTCGTTGTCATTAAGAAGTTCCCTCATCTCTATTATTAAAGCAATTTATACTTTGCGAAACTTTTTAATGCACGGAAACTTATTGACTCTCTTTCGGCAGAGACATATCCTAACCGGAAAAATCATTATTATAATCATCTCAACTAGCTTTTCAATTGACCCTCTTTTGTGCCAAGTTTTTTTATTAAGCGCAGTTAAGTTGATTCGCTATATTAAACTTCTCAATTACTCCTGAACAGTGGATCCTGACAAATTGAAAACTTGGCGATGCATGGCGAGGTGGCTGGCGTAAGAGGTCGGTAGATGGGTAGCTGTGGATGGGCATAGACAACTTCTGGTGGCAGCTGCATTAATAAGTTTTTCTTGGAACGGCTGTGGCAGTTGGCGCAACATTTTGTTTTGATTATTTTCACACGAACTTTCGTTCCAACAAGAAGGACGGCAGCAGCAGCAGCAGCAGCAGCAGCGGATGGTCTGCTGTTGCCAGGGTTACCACTTTGCCGCAATTTCAATTAATGGACTTGGTCGCTCTCCGTTTTCCGCTCGTTACAATAAAGTTTTGTCTGCCTCTAGAGTTCTAACTCACGTTCTCTAGCTGAAAGCTGTGTACAATTTTGTTTATATTTAAATGTAGAAGCTACGACTATTAATTGGGATTTTTTTTCTAAACTTGTCGTTAGGCAGCATTTGCACATTTCGCTAATTAAAACATATTTTTTCTATTTCCTATTTTAGTCGTTATTTTTGTTTAAATACACTTTTTAAATATCCTAAAATATACTGCTCATTAATACTGCTTACAGCTACTCACATTAATTTGGAACTTATATTTGCTTGAGATTCACTTACTCTAAGATACTCTTATTATTTTGGGTATTGCCAGTACTACTCTGTTGAAAAATATATCCATAGTAATATAATTTTGTGTGTTACAACTCAACATTGTCCATTTCTGTGATATATTCATATTTGAAGATACTTTTATAGTTCCGGGGTTTTAACTCAGTACTACTCATTTTCCCACTATATGCATACTCAAAGATACTCCTGACATTTTGGAAGTAAGTACTACTGAGTACTCATTTGTTTGATAGATATACTCAAAGATACTCATCAATGTATCATTGAGTATTTGACATTTGTACTGAGTACTCATTTGGTTGATAGATATACTCAAAGAGACTCATCAATGTATCATTGAGTATTTGACATTTGTACTAAGTACTCATTTGTTTGATAGATATACTCGAAGAGACTCATCAATGTATCATTGAGTATTTGATATTTGTACTGAGATAGGTATACTCAAAGTGACTCATTGGACAATTTAATTGAATATATTTCAGATCTGATTTAAGGGCATTTGTGCGTCGGGCATGCCGCTGTTATTGCTGCTGCTGTTGCTGTTGTCGTGGCTGCACTTGTCAACTGATATATTGAAAGTTTGCCCTTCGCTCGCTGCTGCCTGTTCAGATTGCAGTTGTTACAGTCAGTTCGGTCAGGTGCTTGCCAGGTGCTCCAGCCAGGAGTTGTTAGCTGTCAGTCAATTGTCGGTCCATGGCCACCCACTTGTGACTTCCGTTTGCTGTTGCAATTTCCAAAGCCCGTACCCTGGCCCACAGGTTGTAATTTTAAATTATTAATTTAAGTTCGTATCCGGCGCTGCTGCTGCTGTTGCTGCTCTTGACTTGCTTTGGGCACATCAATGCCATGCTAAGTATTTCAATTTCCTTTCTGTCATTTTTCTCTCCCTCGCCTCTTCATCCCTTTTTAAAATCTGGCAACGCTGAAACTGTTCTGCTGCAACTTCTCGTTGTTGCGTTTTCTGCGGTTTTATGCAAAGGTCAGGAAGTTGCCAGTTCGAGCACAAGATGATATTTAAACGGGAAAAGCAAGCTTCTCCAGTTAATATACGTTTCTTCCCAACTGCAGTTGGGCGTGGCCGCAAGCCGGCTCGAACCGGTTCGAGATCGCAATTGCAGTTTTACTTTTGCTTTGAAACGAACCTTATCGTTTTGGCTTAAAGTCAACAACTTTTGAGGAAGATGTGGATGTGGTTAAGCTGTCAACTTAAGCCCGGGTTTTGTAACCCGGAACCCAATGGGAAATGGATAATAAGTAAAGAACCTTTCAGAAGAGCTAGAGACTTGAAATTGGAGCGTAGTTCCTTCTACAAGCTTGTTATCGATAATCGATAACTCGCCTTGTCTAGGCAATCGATAAAAATCGATAACAAAGAACCTTTAAGAGCTAGAGACTTGAAATTGGAGCGTAGTTCCTTCTACAAGCTTGTTATCGATAATCGATAACTCGCCACGTCCAGGCAATCGATACAAGTCGATAACAAAATCGTGTTCTCTAAGCAAACTTTTGAGGTTTTAACGGCTAAAGACAACAAACCAGAAAAGTATATACCAGATCAAGTCTTTCATTTTATAGCTAACCAACCCCACCCCCCCCCCCCTCCACCATCCCGCTCCTATTGTCTAGATATGTATGTCTACCAAAACTGAAGGGAAATGCAAAATTCGTTTGAGAGAAGAACAAAGCCGAACTACTGGGCTTATACTTATTTTCGATCAGTTGCTGATCAAGCTGACATCCTGATACGATCAACTAGAAAAGCAATATTAATTACGATCTAGCATGAACGTAATTAGCTTTCCCTTCCGCTCCGATCGCATTTCGAGCCACTTACCTGCTGTTGCTGTTGTTGTTGCTGTTGTTGTTGTTGTTGCTGCTGCAGGCGTTCCTGCTCCTCTTTCTTCTGCTCTGGATCCATAAAGAAGAGCTCCTCGGTGGAGCTGCGCAACTCCAAGGCCCCCTCCTCACGAAAACCGAGGCCAATGGTTTCCTGTAGGGTGCCAGTGCCGACCTTCATAGCATTAGTTAAACACAGTAACCACCCAGCACACACACCCACACACACACCCAGCACACACGCACACACGGACATACACATAGCAATTTTTTGCAAGTTAAGTTTATGGCAGAAAGCATGCGGGGGGAAGAAGCAATGGGGGGGGGGGGGGTGAGTGGGAAGCGAAGATAAATACAAAAAAAAAGGAAAGGAAAAGGCAAATTAACAAATCGACAGCCAATTTTTGTGCATTGCATTGGTGTGCGTGTGCGTGTGTGTTTGCGTGTATAAGTGTGCGTGCACAGGTTGGTGTAGGCAGAAAGAGAGAGAAAGGGAGCGAAAGAGAGAAAGAGAGAGAGAGAGAGAGAGTGAGAGACACAGTAAGAGAGAGTAAAATATAAGTGAAAAAAAAACCAGAACAAAGTACAAATAATTAGCACAAAATGAGTCTTTAAATGCGACGTCGACTGCGACTGCGGCAGCGACTGCGACTGCGACTGCAAAGCCGACGTGTGTTTGAGCTGCTTTGATACCCTTGCAGAGGGTATTACGGATATGGTCAAAAGATCGCCTACGTTGAGTAAGATTCAGATCTGCTTTAGCCAGGTGCACGAAATGCAGATGCAGCTGCTTCCTCCTGCCAAAAGGTAAGACAAAATCCATCGGACAAGTCGGACAACTATATCTTATAGAGAGAGAGAGAGAGAGAGAGGGAGAGACGTGTGCGGCGTCCCATTTGGCTGCAAGGGTATTAAAGCTTCGGCTTGCCAAAGTCAATTGTATGTTGTTGTTGTTGCTGTTGTTGTTGTTGTTGTTGTTGTTGTTGTTGTTGCTGCTGCTCTAGAAGCCAAGCTACTAGCCACTAAGCGAACTAGTTGCCGCCGGGTGCAACTGTAAGAATGCGGCAAATCTCTTACCTGCTCGAACACGTTCTCCGGACTGCTCTCGCGACTATCCTCCTCGTGGTGGGACGAACTGGAGGCGCGGCTCAGTTCGATGCGTGGCGTTGAGGGCGTGGTCAATGTCGCGGCGCCGCGATAGCTGGCGACACCCGCAGCACCCGGACCAGGAGCTGCACCGCCAGCTGCAGCGCTGCCCATTGGAATGGAGAGCGGGTGTCCGCCCTCGTTGCTGCTGACCAGGGTTTTGGTGACGGTCGCCGTTGCCGTTTTGAGCGGCGGTGGACGTTGCTTGGCAACGATGCTGGCATTGCCGGAGCAGGTGGCCGACGAGACGGTGGACGTGGAGGATGAGGACGAGGAGCTGCTGCTGGCCAGTGCACCCGATATGCTTAACGCTTCGCTAGCGTTCGGATTGGGATTGGCATTGGGATTGGTATTGGGATTGGGATTGCGAGTTGTCGTTGTTTGTTGTTTGCGCAACGTTTGTTCCATCATCTGCAATGGGTAGAAAGATTGGCTCACATGAATCTGATATACGGTTTGCAAATTGAAACCGAAAGCGTGCAACTATGCGTCGCTTAGCAACACTGGCTGCCAGTCCCGTGCTGTCACATGCTCCTCTCCCCCCCCTCTCCCCTCCGCTCACACACACACACACACACAACTCTCCGGTAAAATCCAATCACAATTAGCTTTAATTCCTTTATGGTTATCATAGCATGTGATTTTTTTAATTAATATCATCCTTTTGGCTCTCGCTGTCCAATTTTATCTTTGCCCGTTTTCCCACACTATGCACACTAGGCATTGCATCTTTTTTTCCTATGAATTTAGCTGGCGTCCAAAAATGTCAGCACGTTTTATAATTGAATTTTTCTGCCGAACTGAATTTGACCAAGGCAACAAGTTAAAAAAACATTTACAGCCAGCAAATACTCTGTTTCTGTTCTACTCTGCGTTTTATATAGCCTGTACCAAGTTTTTGAATACTTATAGTTTGGTATTCAAAAATAATCCGACTTTGATGTGAACAACCAATATACTCGTTTTGTGTAGGGAAACAGAGTATATAAAATCTGTGTGAGTTAACTTTCCAGCTTCTACGTTGCTTTCAATTGCAGAAACTTTCGCACGTAATTGAATACAGGTATCTTAAATTGATTATACAAGTTTTTTTTTCAACTTTTTGCTGCCATTTTGTTATATTCAATATCCTTTATTTTCTGTACGCGAAAAAGTTACTTATATCTTTTTGATCATTTGATGCAATTCATGATTAACAGACATAAACTAAAACATGCGCTTATGCTCAATTATGCTTAACTTAATCTAATTAGTTAGCTACTAAATCGTACTTCCTGTAAGTAAATTAATTAAGGGCGAATTACGTTACGTAACGCATTTTGCTTATTAATTAAAACAATCTTTTGCGGAGAATATTTAAAGTCATGGACGAGAAAACAAGGAAAATACATTTCAAGTTTTCGGATTATTTTGTGCAGTCGTTAGTCGTAAGTCGTTCGTCAGAAGGACATAATTAACTGTTGCTGAAGTGCCCAACACTAAGAAGTGCAATTATACTTGAAGCTAACCGCAATTCTGGTGCGCTTTTGAACACTGTTCTTTAATTAACGCACAAAGCGAGCTTGGAGGACGCGAGCTTTGCATATGAATATTCTAATTACATGAAATATGCGCATTCAAGCATTTCAATTGCCACAGCTCGAACTTGGCGCTGGCTCCAAAGTCCCGGGGGGGAGGGGGGTACGGGGTAAGCATTAAGTGTACCTCATCTTAAGTCAGCCTCAGCTCAACACACGCACACACACACACACAGAGAGAGAGACAGGGCCTCAATGTCAATGCAATTATCCAATTTTAACTTAGAACAAGCGCAGCTGGAAAATCTCCTCCTTGACGCTCGCCTCAAAGCAGAGCAATAGTTTAGCGGAGCAGCAAACAGGCATGTTGAGTGCACACATTACCCCCCCCCCCCCCTCCACCCGTTCCTCTTCATCACTCAGTACCCACTCATAAATGCATATGCAGCCGCATTAGATGCGTTCAAGGAGAAGTCCTTACGCCCAACCAAAGCGTTCCCGTTTGTCACTAGAATGCGCTGATTGACAATTGCCTAGCGGGGAGGGGGGGGGGGGGGGGGAGGCGCTAGTGTGCTATGGTGAAAAGCATGCGTTTATTGTCTGTGTGTGGAGACATGTGTTGCGGGGGCGCAGCATAAACCTTGGACATGCCAAACACACGCACACGCACACACACACACACACGTGCGCACATATATAAGCAAAATTAATTTAACAAACTGATGCTGGGGAAAAAAAAATAAAAGAAACTATATGCAATGCTCTTCACGTGCTAGCGCTCACTATTGCGCTCTCACTCACCCAGTCTCAGTCTCACTCATTCACTCATTCAGTGCGAGTCACTCACCCGCTCGCTCTCAATCTCTCTCTCCCCACACGCCTTGTGCGCTCATTGAAAGCCGCCGCATGCCGCGGCGCATACATAAAAATTGTAATTAATTTGAATAAACAAGAACCGGCTTGGTAACGGAATTCATCGAATTGTTGTGGTTCGCCTTTAATTTGGTAATATTTTGTGGTGTACAGAAAAGGACACCAAGAATTTTAAAAAGCAGTTAAAAAAAAAAACAAAAAACAAAAAACAAAAAACAGCAAATGGGGCCAGTCGAAAAGGCAACCGTAATATTTTGTGGTATTGCATACTGTTTACTGCTGGAAGCTGCGCGTTCGCAAATGCCTCATCATATTAATGATAATTATAATTTTTAATAAAAGCAGCAGCACACATAGCACATACACACATACGTTTGTGTATATGTATTGTATACACCACAGCATGCGGAGAGGCGCTGCCGCTGCTTGTCTGCGTCCTCCTGTTTCTGTGTTTATTGTTAATGTTTGTTCCCGTACACACACATACACACACACACATACAGCCGCGCATACACATGGCATCTTGCCGTTATGTGCGCGTCTTGCTACTCACCGTGTGCCAAAACTTGCCGTTACTGCTCTTTGGCCCTGTGCCTTAGTGTGTTTTGTATTTTTTTTTAAATCGGTATTTTTATAGTTGCTGCCTGGCTCCCCCACTTGTCCTTATTAATTTTTCATTAATTTCTTTTGCCTTAACTTTCCACCGAAAAAAAAAGCAAACCGACAAAAAAATATGAGAATTGTCAGCGACGCAGCGAGGCGCAAGGGAAACGGAAAGTCAAATTTTGTTGGTTCACTTTTGCTCGTTGCTTGCTTTTTGGTTTGTTCGTACGTAGCGCGCGCGCTCAGCGCTTCACACTCCACACTCGCGCTCCTTGCTCAGTCTCTCACTCTGTCGCTATATGTTCCGTTCGTTCGTTTCGTTTATGCCGTTAGACTGCACGCACGCAGCGCCAGCGTCATACTGAGCCGCAGCCGAAAAGCATGCTATGCTGTTTGTGGCTATTGCCTGGCAGCGCTCACAGCAGAGGGTAAGCAATTTCAAAAAGCTGCCATTTGCTGTTGCTGTTGCTGCTGCTGCTGCTGCTGCGGCCGTTGCTGCTGCTGCGGCCGTTGCTGATAAAAGCTTCGCAGCAGGCGTTTTAGCAAAAGCTTCACTAAGTGCCGCGGCACGTTCAGCTGGCTAAGCTTTGGTCACAGTGCTGCGCATACAAATAGAGCAGCTTTTAGCCTTTTAGCTTGAATTGAATAGCAAAGATTAATAACAATTTCCTATATGGTTTAATTTGAAAGTTTTCTTTTTGATAATAAAATGGAATGCAGGCACATCAAATATTATTTAAAGTACACATACTCATGTACATATGTATATATTTTTGCGAATTTCAATTGATACGTTTGTGTGCTTCTAAATGTGTGCTACGCACTGTGCAAGCTCGCCATGCCCTCATGCTCTCTTACTCTCTTCTCTACTCTGACCCACAGTCGCCTGATGATTTTGCATGCTGAATTTCTTTTTGGCTGTTTTTGCCCTGACCACCCCAGCTCCCTCGCTCACGCGACACACACGCACACACACACACACACACACACAGAGTTGCGCATGCATGCTTTACAAGCTCTTTCCAATTCCTGCTCTCAATCTTTGCCCATTGTTAAATGACATTATTTAGAGCACTTCACATTTGATTTGGCGCGTGTCAAAATATTTTCGCAATTGTGCCCCGCCCGCAGCCCCCGCACATAATTTTGAGAGTTCTTTTTACTGTTCTGTTTGTTGTTGTTGTTGTTGTTGCCGTTTTCGCTGGCTTTTGCCGCTGCTGCTGCTGCTGTTGTTGTTGTTGTTGTTGTTATGATATTTGTGGGCAACGCTTAAGCTTCGTTTTGTTGATTGGCCAAAAGCGTTTTGTTCGCCTGCCTTTTAAGTGGCCATTTGCATGTTTTTGGCATTCAACCAGAGCCCAGAGCATTCACCCGGCTCGCTGTGCCTATAAAACTCGACCCCCCCCTCCCCTTTCCTCCCTACTAGAGCAAAGCTCTTTGCAAGCTTACAGAGTTCGTTGCTTTAGGTGATTTTATGTTTGGGTTAATTAATTTCTGTCTCCTGCCACAAATTACATGTACGCGAGTGTGTGTGTAAGTGTATATATAAGTGCATATGTGCTTCAAACTGGGCATATGTATGCATATGTGTGACATATATGAAACTTACCGCAATTCGCTGTTGCTGCTGTGTTGCAGTTGTTGTTGTTGTTGTTGTTGCAGTTGTTGTTGTTGCTGTTGCTGTTGTTGTTGTTGTTGTTGCCATCGTGGTATTGTCCTCAAATGACTTTTCGAACGATGCAATTGGCGCTGGGCCAAGTCGCTTCTGTCGGCGCGCATCCATCCCGGTTCAGCATGCACAACTAGGAATCACACATGCACATTGACACAATTTGCCGTCTTCGTTTTCCTGCAGGCGTTCCCACAGCGAGCGAGCGAGCGAGAGAGAGAGAGAGGGAGAGAGAGTGAAGGAAACACATTAGACGGCTATTGGCAAGCTTCCTTTTCTTGGCTTTTCATAATTGCCACAGTCAACAATAAATCCAAGAAAAGCTCGAGTTGTGGACACTCTGAAGCTCTGTATAAACAAGAGCAGAAGATACCCTGCAGCCAGCAGCGAGAGGCAGCGGCTGTGCTTCTTCTTACTATGAGAAATGCATTGTTGAAGTTTTCAGTTCTCTTATATGGCGTGTATAACCTTAAGGTTCCAGGCTACACCCTCAATGATTTCTTCTACTGCTTCTAATTTTTGGGAAGAACTGTGGGAGGTTTATAAGAAATGAAATTTGGGCTTAATCTACGCCAACATATCGCAATAATTGAGTTGTTTTTTTAGCTCTTATAAGTATGCTACGATATTTGATGAAGAAAAACTTAGTTTGAGCATCGATATTTATCGATACTTCTCGGCTTCTCTGAGTTCGAGGAAGGATCAATTACAAAGCGCTGTATATATGATCATGCATTCCTCCTACTTCGATCTAAAGGCAACAATTTCGGAGCGACATATACTCATTCGCGCCACTTGACATAGTTACAGGGTATTACTGCACAACAACAATAACTAACATACAGGCTATCAATCACTTGGGGAACAACTGTGAGGAATAAAAATATAACGAAATAATATATAAAAAAGAGTCCACTTTGCTGGGAATAGCAACAAATTATTGGCGTAATAACCGTAGCCAGCAAATTGCACAGACGATTCGTGTCTGCAGTTCGTTGAACTGCCTCAAATTAAATATCAACTGCCACAACAACAACAACAACAAACAACAACAACAAACAACAACAACAAACAACAACAAGCAACAACAATAACTGCAAGAAAATCCACAAAGCATATTTGTTGTCCTTTTATCAATATTTAATCAGCGCTTGATTAAGGAAAATTTGCAATTGCATTTACAGAAAAAAGAAAAGAAATCAAAGTTTCCATTCCGAAATATTTTAATCAATTAATCAGCAATATATTCTGTATAATTATGTGTTGGACTCTGATTAAGTGAAAATCGATTGAAAATATATTATAGACCAAGAAACAAGGCTTTTATACAAAACTATCAAGAGCTTCAATGAAAGTCATACTATATAGAGGCTCGATCCGGCTGACACTAAAACTCTGAGAAACAGATTGACCCAAAGATAAAGGCTATATAAGCTCAACTCCTCGACGGGATCCAGCGTATATATAGCTGAAGAGCTAAGAGAAGTCCTCCAAAGTTGGGCAACAAAATGAAGAACTTCTTGAAGGCAAAGCTATATGATATAGTTATCTGAAACTTCGAAGTTTGGCTCAGATATCTGGATAAACAAACGGGAACATACGTTTCGACCTATCATTATTATGGCAACTATTTGATATGGTAGTCCGACAGACAGAACTATAAGGAATACGAACTCGACTGTTGATGCTGATCAAGAATATATATACTTTATGGGATCGACGGTGTCTCCTTCCATACATCATCGTGCCTAGGCTATGATAACTTGGTTGCTTGCACTCCGATCCTTATGAGGTTTTCTTTCTTCTAACTATGGCATCTTAAAGTGTGTAAATATTAAAGCGCACAAGTCTACCCTAAACTATTATAGTTAACCAATTCCATCCAACTTTTCAGTTATGCTTAAATGAGCAGTTCTCAAAATCGATATTGATCGATATTTTGTAGTTGGGATCAGATATCGATAAAGAAGAATTCATGAACTCGTTCGGCATATACGAGAGCATATACAGGAGTCAAGCCCGTTCTGCCTAAACAAGAATATATATATTTAACAAAACTTGTTTCAATCAAATATGATGACGAAATTCGGTCAATCACAAGGATGCAACATTCTGTGGCAGGCATTCATTCATCGACTTCATCGACTCAAATTGAAAAGTCGTTCGAACGACTGTAAACTGTAAACTGTGCCACAATTTGTGGAGCGTAACTGGAAATTGTTTGTGCAGCCAGTTTGACATTTTTTTTTGGGCAAAACGAAGGACATGCCTCAGAAAGCACGACTGCCAGTTACCCTGTAAACAGCGGCGAGCTGTCGCAACAGAAACTTGACAAAAACAAATGCAATCAAACTTTGTTTTCTTTCCAAAGCAATGCCCTTCGGTGCTTATGGTCCGATCTTCATAAAATTCTAAAGCAAACTAAATTTGATGCCCCCCTGCTCTTCTCGAAGGAAGGCAGACAGACTAACAGATAGACCAGCTCAAAATAGACCTTACCGAAACAAAGATGTCAATCGACCCACTTTTCAAATGGCACAGGGTATGCAAACACACACACACACACTCACATATAACATTATTACAGTTGACTGCAGTAATGCGGGGGAAAAAAAATCTTTTCAGGCGAATGCTCTCAACTGCGCTTTGCCGACCTCAAAACAGTTGGGAAAGTGCCTTTCGATACCCTACACTCAACGCAACAAGGCGTACTAAAACTGGCCAAAGCTATGCAACAGTCAGAGGTTGAACTTTACGCTCATATAAATAAATGTTTGTCTTAACTTTTTGCTTTTGCTAAGGTTTTGTAAAGCGTATTTATAATTATTAGATGGTCAGTGTGACCGCATTCGTTTCACAGAAATGAATACCAACATTTGCATCGATCTGGCAACGCTAAAGCTAGCAAGGTTAGCCCAAGCTCGCGGCTGCTAAGATCTGCTAGCAAAATTAACGAAATGAATTGAAAATGCTAAAGCTAAGAATTTCTTATATCACATTTGGTCACAATTTCGTAAATCAACTAAACAATAAACTAATATACCCCATTTGCCCTTGGGAGCGCACAGCATCATAAAACTTTTGCTCAAAAACATTTTTATTTTGCAGTTTTCTGTTGCTGTTGTTGTTGTTGTTGTTGTTCAACTTGAAAGCGAGCAAAAAGCTTTTGCCTTCGGGCACATTTTCGGTAGCTCGCATGCATCGATTTGATTGCATACTTTTTGGGGCAAATACCCAATGTGCCTGCGTCCGATGCAAAGGCAATTATTCGCATTGTTCATATTTATTCATTTCATTCGTGAATATGCTGCAAATCGAAATGAATGCACTTTTTGGGCAACTACAATGGCAGAATTCCAGCACACGACAATCCTGCGTAAACAGCAGCAAACAAATGTTGAAATTGAAATTGCTTGAAAAGAATAAATTGATATTGTATATTGGTATATCAATACCGGAACCATTATATATATATATATATATATAACTGATCAGGACGAAAATCTGAGTCGAACTAAGAAGTCGTATGCGGCACGCAGAACGGATTTATTCCTATGTCCTACGTTCTGCGTCCTACGTCCTACGTCCTACGTCCTACGTCCTACGTCCTACGTCCTACGTCCTACGTCCTACGTCCATGTCCTACGTCCTACGTCCTACGTCCTACGTCCTACGTCCTACGTCCTACGTCCTACGTCCTGCGTCCTACATCCCACGTCCTGCATCCTACGTCCTGCGTCCCACGTCCTGCATCCTACGTCCTGCATCCTACGTCCTGCATCCTGCATCCTACGTCCTGCGTCCCACGTCCTGCATCCTACGTCCTACGTCCTACGTCCTACGTCCTACGTCCTACGTCCTACGTCCTACGTCCTACGTCCTACGTCCTACGTCCTACGTCCTACGTCCTACGTCCTACGTCCTACGTCCTACGTCCTACGTCCTACGTCCTACGTCCATGTCCTACGTCCTACGTCCTACGTCCTACGTCCTACGTCCTCGTCCTCGTCCTACGTCCTACGTCCTACGTCCTACGTCCTACGTCCTACGTCCTACGTCCTCGTCCTACGTCCATGTCCTACGTCCTACGTCCTACGTCCTACGTCCTACGTCCTACGTCCTACGTCCTACGTCCTACGTCCTACGTCCTACGTCCTACGTCCTACGTCCTCCGTCCTACGTCCTACGTCCTACGTCCTACGTCCTACGTCCTCGTCCTCGTCCTCGTCCTCGTCCTCGTCCTCGTCCTACGTCCTCGTCCTCGTCCTCGTCCTCGTCCTCGTCCTCGTCCTCGTCCTCGTCCTACGTCCTACGTCCTCGTCCTCGTCCTACGTCCTACGTCCTACGTCCTCGTCCTCGTCCTCGTCCTCGTCCTCGTCCTCGTCCTCGTCCTCGTCCTCGTCCTGCGTCCTACGTCCTACGTCCTACGTCCCACGTCCCACGTCCCACGTCCTACGTCCTACGTCCCACGTCCTGCATCCTACGTCCTACGTCCTACGTCCTACGTCCTACGTCCCACGTCCTACGTCCTACGTTCTGCGTCCTGCGTCCTACGTCCTACGTCCTACGTCCCACGTCCCACGGCCGACGTCCTACGTCCAACGTCCTACGTCCTAAGTCCTACGTCCTAATCGAGGTGCTTTTTGATTGACATTTGGTTAAACTGCTTTCATTTCCAATATTGAATCGACGCAACTAACTAAATAATCGCAGCTCTAACCTTGATTTATACATAGCAAATATGAATACAGGTGTGTGCGTGTGTATGCGTGTGTGTATGCGTGTGTGTGTGTGTGTGTGTGTGTGTATTACTGGCATTGTATTTATAGAGGTGTTTCGCAATTTAGTCGCTAGCACCTGGGCCCAAGCTTCGCCATTCAAGCTCGTAACAGCATCTGGCATTGCCGTTTAGCTTGCCATGGCGAGCACACACACACACACATATATATATATACACACACAGGCACACACAAACACAGGTACGCGCATACTGACTGACGCCGCCCCCCCCCCCCCCCCCTCCCCAATATTGATGTAGTTTAATGATAAACTTGTCAGCTTCGCTGCAGATTTAGTTTATACCAATATGTGTGTGTGTGTGTGTGTGTGTGTGTGTGTGTGTTTGTGTG